GCTCACCTCCATGGCTATGCCCTCGTCCGAGTAGCTGTGGTTGAACACTAGCTTTCGCCAAGCTCGGCGAGCCTCGAAAACCGACTCCTTCCAGATGCGTTTCGTGTCTGGAAGGGTTCGATCCATTGCCTTCGCTCCCTCCCACCTCAGATACTGAGCGTGCAGGGAATTCCAGAGGTACGTGACCTCTGGATCCAATCGCACTGGTGCTTGGGGTTGGGGCACTGGCTCGATTGGTACTCCCTATAGCAGGATAATCAGCACCTGCACGTAATGGGGTTGAGGTAAAAGGACCTCTCCTCTTACCTCGGGTCGTTGACCTGCCGCGCTCGCTGGTTCTACCGCCATCGGTTGAACTTCGACCGATTGGTTCACTCGCTCTGGTGGGATCGCTGGGGCGCTCGGTACCTGCATTTGGGCCGCTTGCTCGTTTTCGCGATTCACTGCGAGTTCGAGGGCGATCGGACATGGTAGAAGAATGATTTTAATCAAGATAAATCAAAAATAACAAGTTGGATATGGTAGATTTAAAAAGAAACCAATGCTCACTTTGGTTTTCTAAATGGTTGACTGCTTCGATCTGGTCTTTTAAATAAAGAAAAAATTATGTTAACAATAGTATTTATAACTTTTTAAATCAATATGACTAACCTGGGTCTTGTATGTAATCAAGTATATTACCCAATGGTGTTGGGGTTTCAGTCGCTTCCGGTTGGAATCGAGGTGGTAATGGTGTTGTTTCGGAAATAACGGACTGTCCGTCGATTGAGGCGATGGTCCCGTTAATGGCTGGAGTACTACAGGGAGAGTAGGTCCCAACTTCGCTGGCTACGTCGTGAATGCGATTAGTGAGGTCTTGAAACAAAGATCTTTCGTTTGATTCTAAAGGACCCACTTAGGAGTATGAAAACAAAAAAAATATGAAGAATGGAATTCAAAAAAAAATCAGAAAAACAAATCACAACTTGAGTCAGATAGTCACAAAGTAGAATCAATCAGACAACTACTGACTGTTGTAAGTACTCTTTGATGGCTTGTAGGCCTGGTTTTGATTGCAGTCTAAAGGAATTAAATGATCAAAAACAAAAAAAATGATAAAATGAGTAAATGAGTAAATGATAATTAGGTCGAGTAGAGAAATACGAACGAAAAAGTTTGATAGTCTTGATACGATTAAAGAGCTGAAATCGTTGAGGGAAAGATTGTTTGAAGGAGACAGTCTAATGCTTTTATAGCTTCTGATCGTGGTTTTAGGGTGCTTTCGTCCGGAAACTTCCAGAACAAGGAAAGGTCCCTAATGGAGAAAGAAAATTTTGATGTCAACTTCTTCTTCGATAATGAGAGAAGAAAAAAAATGAAATGAGTAAACCAACAGAGAGTTGCCTCAATAATCTTCTCTGGTTGAAAATGTTTGAATAATGTGAAATGAAGATGAGCTTGTTCCGTTTGTAGTTTTCTCTATCTCAACTTGATATGGTTTGTTGTTGATTGTGTTTGTCCGATAATTGTAGACTTCAAATGTCCAATAATGATGGTCAATGTTGCGTAAGGGAGGTTGACGTTGTGGTTTTGATGATTGCCACTATGGTTTGTTGATTTAGTGGGCTAGTGAAGATTACCCTCCCACCCTAAGACACAAGTTTGTGACAATTGACTCAAAGCTGTCAATTGTTGACACTTGACACTGTTATAAAGCTAATATGCTTATGTAAGTTGCTATCCCGACTTCTGAATTGTCTGAGAATGGAATTCCAAGGTGTATGTAAATTACACTACACTTCCTTCACACACTGTGTAATAAACCACACACGTGCTCTGTCTACTATATTGGACAAGTAATTCAACAAAATGGGGAATTACTACTGCACACAGACTGTAATATATATGTAGCACAATTACTAAAAGACAAAGTAGTATAAAAGATGCTATATATGTATGTAATGGCTTGTTGATTTTCTTTTCTCAGTGTGTAAATAAGTATCCCACTGATTGATCTCAATTGAATCAAAAAATGGGGTGTCTTTGATGGTAATTGAGTAGTGTCTTCTAAAGAAGAATTTTGATGACTTCAATTACAATTTGAAATAAAAGCTGGTCAATACTTGTGATCTCAATCAAATGTGATCTCAAAAATTAGAAAAAGAGAAAATTGTAAAATGAAAAAGAAATGAAATGAAATAGATTTTTTTATATTTCTTGATTTTGTTATATAAAATTGAAGTAAAGTAAAAAATTAAAGAAAAATGAGAACTGGACAGAAAAAGGTCTGTAGGAACAAAAACCGGATGAGGCCCCCAAATTGTGAGGAGTCAGCAACTGTTGGGCTAACTCTTCACTAAGAAAAGTAAAGAGTAGTCAACGATGAAGCCTTCACTTGTTACACCCAAGCGAAGACTACAGTTAGTTGACCTCTAATGAGAGGATTTGTGGCCAGTGGGATGGCTAAGTAGTCCTTCTAAGGATCCTACTCTGAGCTTGGGTTGATCTTACAACTACCAAGCCTGCAGTACTTTAGACTCTGAAGAATCAGAGGTGCCGCTGGGTACTTTAGACTCTCTAATGAGGTGCCCTTTGTAAATTCCAAGCTTGTTCTGTTAGCTATTGGTCCCACAAGCTCAGAACACTACTTGAGGTTTTACAATGACCTGAACAAAGACAGAAAAGAACTATGACAATCAAAGTACAACAATATCACTGTACTCAATATTCTTGGTGAAGAATCAAGTAAGTTGTGATGATGAGTTGTGTAATGATATGAAGTTCTTCTTCTTCCAGAGTGGGAAGAAGAGGGGTTTATATATTCCAGACCTAGGCGTCAACTTGTGGTTGGCACTTAGGTTTGCTTTTCTTTTGAGTTAGGTTTGGGTTAGGTTTTACTATGAGGTTAAAAGTCTTGTTACTTAAGTGACTCTTGAAACTGAGCCATGAGTTGTAATTCTTATGGTTTTAAACAAGTTTCATATATTTACATATTATTTACATATGTATTAAATGTGTTTACATGTGTGTTTGTTAGTCCATGGTCCTGTACACAGGGCTCAGGGCTGACAGATTCCCTGTTGGGGAGCTGCTGGGGCTCACCTATTGCAGGGTTGCATTGCTCACAATGGGGTATGATTTTACACCCCGACAATCAATGCACTGGGCAATGGCCTGACCCATTGTGTTGCTTTGCTTGGCTGGGTGTTTCTGTTGCTTGGCATTTCTGTACGCAACACGCTGGCACAATGTTGCACACAGTATACATTACCTACTGTATAGTTATTTTTTGATGAGAATGAGTTTGGAAAAATCTAACAAAAATAATTTGTTACCACAAATATTCCACAATCTGAAACCTACAAGAATTGATTTACTCCACCATCAGCTCTTCTTTCATCATAAAAGCACTTGACATCTTTGTTTGGAAGCTGGTCATCCAAGTAGTAGCTAGTATAGTTTACCAAAGATCAGTAGTGATCATTATCCATGAGAGGACTATTTAGTCAATGATGCCTTACATTTGTGATGAGATTTGTACATTATGGATAAATGTAAAAAGTGTTAATTTTTTGATATGTAAAAAAATCCAGAGTTCAAGACATACATGTTGAGCACAATATATCAAGATCAAAGTTTTGATTGGAATCACGTGATCATTGCTGGAAATCTAGTACTTACTAACTAACCCAAAGACTTTATTAACATTATACCCACATCTGTACCATATATACTCTTGTTTGAGTTGACTTGTATGAACTCCAAACCAAAAAAAGATAATCACAAGTTGTGAAGAGATTAAATTCATTTTGGAAATATGAATCTGGTCTAGAGATGAGATTGTGTATGTGATGAAATCAATATCTCCATGTGATAAATATCAAAAAATTGTGCTACTCAAGCACCCCACCAGAGTATCCAACTTCCATCAGTTTTTACTCAAAGACTTCCTACCAATGCCTTTTGACACCTCTTGATAATAAGCCTTACCTGATGTTACACATTTGATGGTATGTGTCATACTTGCCATTGAACTCTAGACCTTGTCAGACATTCTTGGATTACAAATGACAATCTTCTTGTGAATTGATCCAGCTATACAATTCTTCATCTTTGTTTTTCTCCATTAAGAAATCTCCCCCAAGCTGTACTCCTTCACAACACCCAAATGAATCAAACTTTTGCATAAACAGATACCTTTAAAAGATAAAATCATCCTTCAAGTCAATTGGTTTTTTCTATATATTTTCCAACGCAAAAAAAAGAAGCTGATCCCAAAAAAAGAATGATGTAAAAAAAATCAAAAAAAAAAAATACATGATCATTTAAGAAATTTAAAAAGATTTGATCATACGTAAAAACAAAGAAAGCTTTGAACATAGAAGTATCAAAAAAAGAACTATTAATAAAAACATATCGAAAACGAAAAAGAATAGAATCAAAAAAAAAAGAATTTTGGTAATACAGAATCAAAACCATTGAAAAATCTAAAGAAAAAAGAAAGAAAAAAAGTTTGAATGATTTTTTTTTTGCTGAGGTAAGGGTAAAAAAAGATAACAAAAAAACCATGATCTTTTTCCAAAAAAAAGGATATACAAAAAGAAACCAAAAAGGATATGATCATTAATGATATGATTCCAAATTCATCAAGGTTTTATCATTTCAGTAGGACTAAGCACTACTTGATTAAAGAAACTCTCATCTAAAATAGAATGGGTTTGAACTTCTTCATTAGATTTAGAAGAAGTGATCAATTCTTTTTCATTAATGATTTCAATCGGTTTAGTTTCATGAGAAGTAGAAGTAGAATCCAGTTCAAGATCCGAATCAGTCGTCGAAAAATCCCAACCAATCGTAGGGTTCAATCTCTTACAACCCGAACCCGTACCACATCTTCTTTCCTGTCTAGATTCCAATGGAGGTAAACCCAACAAGATTTCCTTAATGACGATTTGTTTACGTTTAGCCTTATTAAAAAACTTTTCATACAAAAGTAATTCTAAAGAAGATGGTCTAAGATTAGGTGATTTTTGTAAACATCTATCGATAAAACTTGCAAAAGTTTTCGAATATTTGTAATCCATTCCAATTGGCTTTCGGTTTAAGGTTGGAGATGGATCTTCTACTGTTTTTAATAATACATCTGAAGGAGGAAAGAGTGAGTGAGGTGCTTTTCCATTGGCTAGTTCTAGTGCTGTGATTCCAAATGACCACTAACCCATCAAAGAAAGAAAAGTTCATTAGAAAAAACACTGTATGAAGAAGTTGATCAAATGAAAGATGAAGACTTACGATATCGGCTCTATCGTTATAATCTGAACCTTGAATAAGTTCAGGTGCCATGAATGGAACCGAACCTACGAAACCATAATTAGCAGGTGTGATGAAAGGTTCAGGGATGAATCGAGGTGAAGAACCGATTTTAGGAGGAGTACTCGAAACCACTTGATCAATCACACCAGGATCGACACTAACACCAAAATCAGCCAACAAGACCGTTCCATCATCATCAATCAACAAATTAGCCGCTTTGATATCCCGATGAATCCAACCATTAGAATGAAGATAATGTAATCCACTCAAAGCTTGAATCAAAACTGTAGCAATGATCGATTCTTGTAATCCATCTTGAAATCTATATGAAATAATATCAGATAAAGAACCTGCTTTCATCAATCTAGTGGTAATATAAAGTTGACTACCATTGATCCATTCACCTCTAACTCTAAGTATGTTAGGATGTTTAGCTAATGACATTAATTGAGTTTCACGTCTCAAAGATTCTACATCTTTTTGTGTTAATCTATCTAAATCTATAATCTTGATTGCACAAAGTTCATTTTGAATTGGTTTGAATCTTGATAGTCTAACGATTGATGAAGCACCAAATCCAATAGGTTCTAGGATTTCATAATCACTCATCTGATTACTATACATGGGCCATCGATCTGGTACTGATCCTAAGATCTTACGACGATGTGATGATAATTCGTTTAATGGACTGATTGTATTTGAAGAAGATGAAGATGATGATAAATCTGAGATGATAAAATGTTTTGAGTTGTTTGAGTTTGTGAAACGATCTTGACGATTGATAAGAGAAGTCGATAGATCCGATAGTTTACGAGTTGTTTGATTTAATAAATTCGATAATCTTCTTTTAGTAGAAGATTGATGAGTTGAAGTTGAATTGATTAGCATTTGAATCTGATGAGAAGATGTGTACAAATTCAGTAAATTAAATTCTAAAACCTTTGAATTTAAATATCTATCTACATACCTAGTTGGTATATCGTTTTAAGTAATAATCTTTAATAGAAGAAGACTGAAGAACTCTTTATAAGAGGGAGGCTCGATGAAAAATGTCAAGTAGTAGTCGATGAAAGAAGACTGAAAGACTGAGCTACTATTTATATCACTGCTATTCAATCAATAATTTGGTTTTGATAATGAAGCTTCATCCAATTTGATCACCGACCGACCTCATGACTGATCATCCATTTTTAGTATCACTCTATACTATCAACCGACCGGTTCATATCATCCATCACCTTTTCTTCAAATCTCCTATGACGACAAGAAGTGTGAAATCTATCAAATCGGAGTACCGGTGTACCACGATGTAGAAGATAAGTTTTAGAAGACTTTAGATTATTTTGTTTCGGAGTTAAACTATCAAAGGGTCTGCTAAATCCTAAAAGGACATGTAAAAATTCTGACACGATCAAGTCTAATCACAACCGGATTGGTCTTTAAAAGATGAAAAATGGTTCAAGAGCTTCATGATGAATTTAACCATCGGATTTAAAACCAAACCCATGGATTGGTTTCTAATGTTACCCACATGGCTCACACTCAGGCTGTGTTAAGGCTGTGTAAGATGCTAATACTATAGCTTTATGACAGGTGCAGTATGTTGCATAAACGGTAACATTTGCATGTACATTTCATCCATTGCAGCTGCATCCTGCCAGCATGCTCTTGTGTACTGGTGTAGATGAAAAAAAGCAAAGAAATCATTCAACTGCCTATTCTTTTATAAGTTGAGATTTGCTCAACAACATCAGCACTATTCAAAAAAAAAATGTTAAATCCAAATAAACCACACTCCACAAAACATGTCAGAAGAAAAAAACACTAAACCCCAATTTTGTTTTCTTTCATGTTATGTACGTTCATATACAAATACAATTCATAACAATCACTCAAGTAAAACTTTTTAAAAACTTTTATTATTATGATTTTTTTTTGGTCAAGATTTTCCAAAAAAAAAATCAAAGAAACAAAAAAGAGAAATCCAAAGAAGATCGTAAAAAAAAAACCAAAAAAAAAATGAAAAACCAAAAAATAAAAAGAATGTTTAAATAATTCAAGCAAGTTTCAAAAAGAAAAAGAGAAAAATAAAAAGAAAAACCAAGTAAACCATCATCAAGTTTTAAGTAGAGAGAAGAGGAGGTAGAGAGTTGAGAGTAGGTACATATAATAAATAAACAAAAGGAAAACCAAAAGTAATCAGTAAAAACAAAGAGTTTTGAGTATATATAAATCCAAAAGTTTTCATCATCATCATCATCGTCATCGTCATCAAGAAAAAAAGAAGAAATAGAAAAAACTGATTGCAAAAAAACAAAACAAAAAACCCTCATCTCAATCTGATCATCTTTTCCTTATTAACCAAACCAAACCCCAGGGTCATCTCAACCTGACCATATTTTCCTTATCAACCAAACCAAACCCCAGGGTCATCCCCAACCCAATCCAGTATGAAGAATCCAATCTAGTATCAAAATCAAAAAATGAACCATCTTAACCATTGACCACAGCCAACCTTCTTCTAGGAGCAGTCGTCACAATCTGAACCTCTCTCTCATTCCAATACTCATCATCCTCTCTACCCTCTTCATCTTCCTGAACGACTTCTTCATTCAATCGATCATTTCCCCAATAACTTCTAAACGGATGATGAGAAGGATGAGATGGATCACCCGGATCTGATCCAAACGGATACATCAGTGTAGATGCTAATGATCTAGGTCGTAAGTTTTGTGCATTGATGCCTACTTCTGTGGCTGCTACTGTTCCGATCACTGATGGGGATGGTAAATGTTGTTGTTGTGCATAACTTGAGAATTGAGCGGGTGGGTTCGATCCGTCTGTTCAGAAACCCAATTTTCAATCAAAACGTCAGTATCTAGATGTACATGTCTTTAGGAAACATCTTTCTCACCTCTTTCATTAGCTCCATTGGTTCCAGTTCCAGGTCCAGAAGGATTACCACTTCCACTTCTACCATTCTTAATAATCGACATAAAGATCACCAAAGTAGACTCAGACGAAGGTTTTCCATTCCAAGCCAAATATCCCATACCGAAATATAAACCAATACAACCTATCAAATAAACTCCTCCAATCCATTTAAACTTTGATCTAACCATTGTAAAATAACTAACGATCAAGAACACATTACTTAAAAATAAAATCGTATGAAAAAACATATCTCCTAATCTTCTTAACTTCTTACGTGGTTTGATGGCTTTTTGATAAATCGAATCTTCTTCTTCTTCTTCTTCTACTATCTCTTCTGTTACTCTATTTGAAACTGGTTCATTCATTAAATCTTCAACTGCTATTCCTCCTGGTGGATGATGATGGTGATGATGGTGGTGATGGTGTTCATCATCATCATCTGAAGAATTGATCCTTTCAATCGAGTTAGATCGATGTGATTCAATGGCTTCTACTCGGCTTTGATCTCGATCGATTTCAATCGAAAGGTCAAGTGAAAGTCTTCGATTAAATCCTTTTCGTTCTCCATGTGATGAACCTAATCTAGATTTCGAAAGTGCTGATCGTCTATTAACTACTTCGAATGATGCTTGTGTTCCAGTTTCTTTTTCTGTTGATGATTTCATCTTTTTCTCTACTTTGGTTTTATTGAAAGGTAAAAGGGTATTTGAAAAATTATGTAAAGCTCTCAAAACAGGTCTTGTTGAATGTTTTGAAAGATCAGTCATCGAATTGTCTTTCATATCAATCACATTTGAATTGATGGCTAATGGAGTTAATCTAGCACTCGATTCACCCTGAAAAGATGCATCAAAATGTTCAGAAACAGTAGCTTCAATCTCATCTGGTGTAATCGGAATCTCTTGTGGTAAGATCGATTCTTGTAATTCTAGATGATCATCTTCTTGTTTTGGAATCGATTCAATTCGAGTTTGAGCAGTAGAAGTCGATTCATTCTTTCCATGTGTTGAATCATTGATCCTTTCAAGATTTTGAATGTCTTTTTCATTAGGTGATCCAATCGGACTTTCTAATCCGATCCCACAACTCGATTTTTCAACTGAAGTCACCATACTTTCATCACCAACCATCATTCCATTCTGATGAGTTTGACTGATTCGAGTTGGATTTCCATTTTGGATACCTTCAATTTGACTTTCTCTTTTACTTCTTCTATCAATCTTTCTTGTTTTGTTTAATCTTGCAATTCGAATTTGTTCAGCCCAATACCTTGGATCGAAAATCGAGGTGGTATCTTTCATTTGATTCGATTCTTTAACTTTTAATCTTCTTCTTTCTCCATACTGTGGTTTTCTCGATTGATATTCTTCTTCATATTTTCCATAAATCCATCCTATGATATATAAACATGGTACTGCAAAACATCCTGCTACCATTAAGGCTAATCCTAATTTGCTATGTGTTGAAGTAGTAAGTACTTTGAGTGGGGTAACATGATTAGGTGATGAATCGTGAAAAAAACTACGTCGCATTCGACGAGTAGAAGGCGTGCTTGATGTACTGTTACTACTACTATTACTACTACTAGTCGACATTCGAGTATGAGTGAATCCTGCAATGACCCCAAATATCAAAACAACCACACCGGCCGAAACTCCCACCCATGCAGTCAACAGAGCCCATAACCTTGGCATTCGCCACATCCTCCTAAATGATAATAATCCAGGATCTTCATACCTCAAAGCAGTCACAGATAAAAGGATTAAACCTAATGCAACAGTGGTCATAAACGTATGAGCTTCCGAAACATTTAAATTCGAACTGGGTCCGGTTCCACTTTGATCATCGGTTGAATGATTTGGATTTCGAGATGAAGTACGCGAGTTTTTAGGTGTAGGAGTCACACATGAAGGTAAATAAGACATCTGTACACCTAATGTCGTTCCATTCCCTGTCATCCTTCCACCATGTAATCGAAGTACCCATAATTCATTTGAAGCTTGACCCGTACTCACATCAATCCCACCATAAACTAAGATATCAGTGGTTCCATTAGAAGAAGAAGTAGCACCCACATTATGACCTAAAGCTAAAGCCATCACACCTTCTTTTTGTGTAAACCTTTCACCTTCTTTTTGTGCTGGAATTACTCTTGACCAAGTACCTGAAGATAAATCTAAGACATCCACTTCACCTAAATTTGAACCACCTTGATCATTCCAATTTTCTAAATCAGGTCTACCACCAATCATAATCACTTGTTGTGAATAAGAACTATCAAATGTATTTCGATTAGGTACCATCGTACCACCTATCCTTGGAGCTGGACAATAATTGAATGATTGCCATGATGAAGTACTAGTGGTATTTAAAGTCACAGGTGAAAAGTTGGATCCGAAATTCAAGATGCCTCCATTGGTAAGTGCACAAGTTGGATTAGGTGAATCTACAAATTCGTCTGATGGTTTAGTATTACATCCTGAAAACATGACTAGCTTTGAACCTGGTTTGATTCAACAATCGAATATCAGTTTAAAGTTCAAGTGAGCACCCCATACACAATTCAAACCGAAATCAAAACTTTACCTGACATGATGGTACTACTCATACCCCATCTACCTTTAACTAAATTATTTGACCCAGGATCTCCACCCACCCCACCGCCAAGATCATTGACAGTGAGAGTGATTGTATTAGTATTTGAACCTAATTGACCATCGATGATTAATCCAGAAGGCGATAAAGAAGCACTTGAGGTTGAATTTGAGCCACCCATATAAATCAAAGCGCTCGATGTTGAAGGTGCAGTTGGTACATAAGTTGGATCGATACCACCTATTGCACCATATAATGGAGATGGTTTATTAGGATTGACTGATATAGGTTCTGCCCAAAATGAATTTGCTGGATCAAAGTACCTAGATGATTGGGAAAGGAGATCAATCAGTGTTAGATGAATGTGTTGAATGAAAAACGACGAACCAATAATCATTAAGTGGTGTTCCATCACTTGATCTCCCAGCAAAGACTGAAAGTTGATTACGATAATTCGAAGCAGCATCCCAACCACAAATCATATGAGATCTAGGATTAGGAGTTGAAGTAAAGATCGTATTTGAAGGAGAAGAAGTAGGTTGAGACCAAGCAGGAGAGATAGAAGTAGTATAATCTAAAACGAATAAATTATTGGTAGTCGTGCCAGTAGAAGAACGACCACCGAAAAGATAAGCTGAACCTGAACCAGGAGTGTTGACGGGTGAAGATTGAGAAGTGAAAGTAGGACCGATTAAACAACCATGAGAGATAGGTGGAGGTGAACTTGAACCTGTTGTTTTGAGTTTGATCCATTCCATGGGTGGTAAAGGCATGTTGGTTGAGATTGATTGAGAATAAGAAGAGTGTTGATTGATGATGATGATGATGATGAAAAGTGAATGATGAATGAATGATGAAGGTCTTGATGAAGTGATATGATTCGTCATGATAGTCTTGTTGATAGTGTTGATGTTGATGTTGGTGATGGTGATGGTGATGGTAAAGGTAAAGAAGATGGTGAAGGTGAAGTAGTAGGGTATTGTTGAGATTGAATTTGATTTTGATGAGTAAATTCAAATCGAGATGTTGTATGTTGTTGTATGTACTTTGCTGTGTTTCTTTATTGGTGATCGATTCTTTTTCAATTCAACTGCACCTCACTCACCCAATCTTTCTGCGGAAATATCACATGCGCGCAGCCTGACTCTCACTACCCGCACTCTCACTCACTGACACGCCCATAAAATTAATCCCAATCTTCAGCACAGCGCAGAGCAGACATTCAAAAATGCCCTTTTCCTGAAATCCTATCCACTCAACTCTTGTCCTGATATTTCCTTTATTAAATACACAAACAGAATAACATTCTACTTTAATAAATTTACCATAAAAAATAGAAACCGGAATCAAAAACAAATTGAACAAAAGATTCAATATGAAAGAGACTTTGGTGATGTGCAAATAAATTGATCATTGAACTTTCCAAAATCTCATCTTTTTTCTTAATCAGTTCCTGAACGAAACCACCCTCTTGTGCCGTCGTATCTTGGAAACTAATCTTCAGAGATATTGACGTAACAAGAGTCAAGTCTAAGCAAACCAGAGGGGTTTTGTTTAAGCTATATATATATAATTATTTTTCAAACCTTTTCAAATGAGTACTATAAGTTGGAGGAATCAGGATTAACTTCAGATGATAAAAATGTTTAAAAATTTAGATCATTATACAAAAATTAAACTCACATTGGATCACCTTTCAACAACCCCATCCTATTAAGTAACGGATCATTTCGTTAAATACTTCTGCATCATCAATTCCCAATCCAAAAAATGAACAAGAATAATCCAATGATCACAACTAGGATCTTAAAACTCTAACCAAATCCAAAACATGGTAAAAAGAAATCGCAGGGTGTTAAGGAAATTATGTTGATCCGTTTGTTTTGCTTCTTGAAGAAATCAATTGTGAATCACGAAGCGTACGTTCTATTTTAGTGTTGGAAATGATTTCTACTCATCTAGATTCGTCTTTATTGATTGTATGGATTCGATGGATTTCATCGTAAATTTGTAAATAGTTGAGAGTGAATACAATGTGGATCCAAAAATTGAGGCTCTTCATTATTCTCTCTACTTGTTAGTTTAGAAATCTCATATGGATCATTTGAATATTCTAATACCCTCAAGTTGATTGAGTGGTTCTAGGGAAAACATTGTCATCCATTCTCAATACTCGAATCTCAGCGTGAGTTGAAGTGCAATCCAGGACTGGTGGATTTCATTGTACAAACAAAACAAGAGACTACTAAAAGAATCAAGATTGAGTACAAAAGTGAAGAAACAAAAGTGAGATTGGAAAAGAAAAACATGTAAAGTCTAGTGATTTGATTAGTATTAGTATGCGATGAGACCATGTCTTCTCTATACAGAACTGATATACTATGACTAGCTTATGAATGAGATCTTATTTCCGAACAAAAACAAAATGAAAGGTAGGAAGATTAAATTTGAATCACAAGTTTTACAAAAACATTCGTCAACAGACGTTTGAAAAGGAAAAAAAAGTGAAGGATTCAAATTGAATTGAATTGAAATGAATGGAAAGATCGTCGAGACATTGATGGATGATTTGAATTTAGAGTCCAAAAAAGTTTATTGTCGAGCTGCATTTTTGGCTGGTTGAGAATTTAAAGGTTGAGTGGTCTTTGGAGTTTTGCTTGGAGGAGTAGAGTCAGTTCCATTCGTCTTACTACTTGCACCTGCACTTGCGCTAGGTTTCGGTTTGGCATTAGGATCAGATTTCGTGGCACCTCCTGATGATGGAGGAGTGATGGTGGTTCCATTAGTCTTACTACCTGTACCAGTCTTTGGTTTCCCTCCAGTCTCTGATTTAGTGCCATTTGCTGGAGCTCCAACTCCACTTGCTTTGGGTTTTGCAGCGGGGTTTGTTTTGGTCGCATTGTGTGAAGGATCAATGGTACGTGGTGCTGGTTTCTCAACCTTGGTACTGTTCATTTTTTCACAGCCAGTGCATTCTATGATTTTTGTGAAAATGGAAGAAGTGCTTCGTCAGCCCCCGTCGAGCTCGTGTTTGAAAAAGTTACAGTCCTTTATAAAGATGTTTGACTTACCCATGGGGATCGAGAGCTTTTGACAAGCAATGGTATCAACTTTTTGGTTGCGACCAGCTTTCGGGTCGATTTTATGTAAGGCTGCGCACTCTGTGAAACAATGCGATTTGTGTGTCAATATAGGTTGTCTTCATAGAGAGATGGATTTTGGAAGTCATAGATCAAAGAGTTAACGTACCGATCCAACCTTCGGATTCAGTGGGGTGAGGTGTATGGGCCTCTAAACTGATCTGACCACCTTTAACACCAGGCCTGTAAGCCAAACATTGAGCCTTCTTGGAATCACCTTTGCATCCAGTTGCTTCGGCGAGATTCTTACCACCTAAATGAAGAAAAACTCAATAATGGTGACGTGAATGAAGCTCAGGTGAAGATCGCGCTTACCACTGGGCTTGCAATTCGCCGTGGAACATGTATATCGCTCTTTTGCAGTATCACATACTATGAGGTCAAACCGGTTTGTCAATCATCCACCTTCGGAATGCGTATGATGACGAAGAATTGAAGATGTGACTTACATGATTTGTGGTTGTCGGCTGCAGGTGCCTTGGCTGGGTCTGTAGCTCGACGGCGAGGAGCTTGGATCTTTGAGCTATTCGAAGGTTTCCCAGGGGTTGGAGTGTTGGTTTTAGGAGCGCTAGTGACAGGCGGTTTGTGCGACTTGCTCGAGTCACCAACTGGAGCCCAACCGGCAGTACAGACGATCACTTTTTGATTTGGAGAGTCTGACTTAGGCTTAGCAGAGCCTGTCTTGTTGGTTGAAGGCGAGGGTGATTGGCTGGGAACGGTTCCACTGGGTTTGCCGCTTGTACCATTGGTCTTGGCAGCGGTGCCTTGTGATAAAACAACTGCAGAGCTAGCAAGAAGAGTAAGAATGATAGAACGCATCAAGCTTTGAGAGAACATTATGAACAAGTAAAAATTTAAAGATGATAGTATTGACAGAAATTAGAAAGATATCCTTTCGATTGTAGGGTATTTACGGGGAGATGATAAGACGTGGTGAAACTGACTGATAATTGTTTGAGAGAAGGTAGAGGGATTGGAGGTGTGTCTTACTTATATAGCAAATGTAAACATTGATCTTCCTGCAAGCTCGGAAGAATGAGTCATCTTGACCTTTTTGCCTAGTTGACCAAGCATTTTCGAAGCAAGTGCTTGGAAACTCCACCTATAAGCTTTTCCCTATATGCTACGATAAGGGATTCGAAAGCCAAGTGAACAACCCCCCTGCATTCACCCTTCATCTTGATTTTACCATCTGCTATTCTATCATCTGCATCACTTATCGGTTCATTTCCCTGGATGTACCCTCGAGACATTCCAATTCTCGTGTGAATCGTACCAAGTTTCCTTTCCATTTCCAAAATATTTACGTGACAATGGATTGCTTCATCATGACGTCCAAAGGGATCTCCATTATGAATCAGCATGACCTCGTGTTTGATAGGTGCGTTTTGAGTATCACAAAAGTGGGCTACAAGTCGACGAAGAGCGAGCAGAATTGGGACGAAAAATGTCATGAGGTGGTACCACTTGAAGTTGTAGGGAGATGGATTGGGAACGTGAGAGTAGACCATGAGCATTCGATGCAATTGTGACAGTATTGCAATATGTGCACATGTAACTTGTAAAGTCAATTAAACTTCCATCCTCAAATGAAGAATGTTGAGTTTGAATCTTGATCTCTAAACCGATTCTCATCAAATAAAGAACTATGACCAGTCCACCAAACGAACAAAGCTCTTTACTCTCTCCAACAGTAAGTACTTGAACATTCATGAACTCGTATCCTTTTTAAATCACATTATAAACTGAAACTCATATCTTCGTTATTATCAAGACAACTTCAAATCCAAAGTTACAAATAGCTTATAAACGACTACGATATTATATTCCTGCTTTCGAATGGATCCCGTCTTATTCTAGTGATGATTTCCTTCAAGATGCAGTGGCTGGTGTCACTTTGGCTTGTTTACTTATTCCTCAATCAATTGGTTATGCTTCACAATTAGCTGGGATCCCATCTGTCAATGGTACGTGTTTCTTGAACTTCTGGAGACCTTTAATCGATCACCTTTGGCTAATGATGACTTCTGATGACTTAACTTCATCGATCGTAGGTCTCTTCTCGGCTGCTATCCCTGCGATCACATATCCTTTACTTTGTACTGGTCGTCATGTATCAGTGGGACCTGAAGCTGCATTATCACTCTTAGTAGGCCAACTTGTCAAACAACTCGTCCAACATCGACAATTACATTCACCTTCGGATTTCGCACCTTCAGATGATGAACTTCTTCAACTAGCCGTCACAATCTCAACGATTGTTACATTTGAAAGTGGTCTGATCACTTTCCTTTTTGGATTTTTCCGTTTAGGATTTTTGGACGCGATCCTTTCTCGTGCTCTTCTACGCGGATTCGTATCTGCTATAGCAATTGTGATTGCAATCGAACAATTGATTCCTATCTTAGGACTCTCAGCTCTTGAACATGCTCAAGGGATCTCATCAGAAGGAGCGGTTGAAAAATTGATATGGACCCTCTCTAACCTCAAATCGAGTCATCGAATGAGTTGTTTAATCAGTCTAGTCAGCTTTTGTGCATTGATCGCCATACGGTCTTTCAAAACGACTGTCTATTGTCGCTCCAGACTACCTCTATTGAAATATGTACCAGATATTCTTATCATCGCCGGTTTAGCCGCTGCACTTACGGATATCTTCAATTGGGATCAACACGGTGTAGCAGTAGTAGGAAGTATACATGCAAGTCAAGTTAAATTAGGTCTTCCATGGCGTGGAATTGATAAACATCTCCTTAAAGATACTCTTGGGACTGCCATCACGATTTGTATCTGTGGATTTGTGGATTCGATCGTGGCGGCTAAAGGAGAATCGTCTCGGTTTCATTATCCTATCAGTCCTAATCGAGAATTAGTAGCACTAGGTGCAGCCAACATCGTGACCTCATTCGTGAGTGGTGATATGCCAGGCACGTGGTCCAATCCTTATTTCCTACCTGAATACACATAACCCACTCTTATCCCATTTCGCTCATATGAATCTTCACTCGCCTAGCATATGGCTCAATCACCCGTAGCAGACTTAACGCCTCAACTGGTGCAAGAACTCCAATGGCTTCGGTCATCACCGGCTTGACGATTCTCTTTGCAACTTACTTCTTACTCGATTATCTATTCTTCTTGCCGAAATGTGTATTAGCCGTAGTGGTCACAATGGTAGTTTTCCATTTGATCTCAGAACTTCCAGAAGATCTGGCTTTCTTTTGGAAACTTAGAGGTTGGACGGAACTAGCGTTGATGACTGTCAGTATATCTATTTTCTGGTTTTCGTTATGAGAGGTTTGGTGACTGATGATCTTGGTTCCGTGATTTTAGTTTACCTTTTTGATCACTTTGGTATATGAAGTCAAGACAGGTATCATCATGTCTGTGGCTGTAAGTATGGTGTTGACTATCAAAGATGCTACAGCTATTAGAGTTAGGATATTAGGAAAAGATCCTATTTCTCAAAGCTGGGAGCCTATTGATCCACTTCGACATGAGGCCGAAGCCGAACTTGAAACAGATGATGAAATTCCGGGAGTACTAATTGTCAAAATCCGAGAATCACTCAGCTTCGCTAACGCCGGTCGCCTGAAAGAAAAACTGAGACGACTAGAGATGTGTATGTGAATGAGCTATACTGAAACTAAGACGGTTGAACTAAGATGTTTTTGGATGTTTTTTTTTGGCTACAGACGGATATCGTAGACGACATCCTTCTGATGAAAGAGAAAGAGATCAAACTAGAATGCTAGTCTTTCATCTTGGTGATGTAGAAAAGATTGATGCTTCAGCATTACAGATCTTCAAAGAGATTGTCGTTGAATACAAAATGCGAGATGTAGAGGTTTGGATTTGTCATGTGATACCAAATCGACTTGTACGATTTGAAAAGGCTGGAATTCTGGCGATAGTCGGAAAAGGTAAAGACAGCACCCCTCTTTTGTTCTTCTTTGAGCGCAAGACGAGGGAAATGTATTTTCAAAGCTTTGCTTAAATTGTTATTCTTCTTTTCACCCTGACAGATCGGATCTTGCCTAATGTGAATGAAGTTCTTAAACGAGCCCAAAAAATCGGTTCACAAACTAACAGTCAAGCAGAAGTAGACATAATGCTAAGAGACGAACATGACGAAGATTTACCGATTTGAAGAATTCATCTTCGTTATTTCTTATGATTTCATATAGACTTTAAGATCTAAATGCGATTAATTCAAGACATCTATCATCTTGCTGATCTTTATCTGAACACTTGATTCATACACATTTTTTTTTGTTTAAGCATTAATTTTTCACTTCTGGTTATTTATTTGAGAATATTAAAACACTGAGAACTTGTACTTGTTGAGACTTGCATTTTGATTGATTGTTTTTCTATGCTTTTTTATAAACACTCACGTCATCTGATTGGTTTCACTTTGAAATGAATATGTATGCATAGAATCAATTTGACATGGCATCATTAGTGTTAAATTCACTTACAATGGAGGCTGATGGTTTTAGAATCGCTTTCATCACTTGACCATAGCTTCCAATGTTGCCTCTTAATTAGTCTAGAGGTCAATATGTCTGTGAACCATGAATGCTGTCCTATTTACTACAAGTTATTGACCTCAATGCGGGGGGTCCACGAAAAATTGTCAAAGGTAAATCATAACCTCAGCCAAAAGTTGTGGTGGCATCTTACCATAACTACAATCGCATCAAGTTAACTTCCAGGTTGAAAGTTCTCCTCAAGGACAAAAATTTAACAAGACTGATCAGAACAGATAATGGATCTCTTGCACATGAATACGGGGAAGAAGATTTTTGATTCAACAAGGATACAATCAAAGAAGTTTAAGCCGTAAACAACTTATGATGAGTGTACATCTAAACTTATCAGTGTACATCAAAAGTTTCCACTCTCCAAAATATCTTCCTATCCTAATAAAAAGGTAGATTCATCATAACCATCATCACAGAGATAACCAGTTATCAAACACAATCCTTGACATAACAAATTTTGCCGCAAACAATGTCACACAATCAAATTCGTGTTTCACACAACTAGTATTGCAATAAAATTCACGAACGTAGCACACACAGAAAAACAGCATAAGACTAAGGCAGAGTAAAGAGATGAAACAATCCACAACAGAACAGACGAAAATACATCTAGCGGATCTAATTCCATTTATCGCACATGCACCCTTGTAGCTTGGCTTGAGTGAATTGCTAAGATGAAAGGGATACAAGATGATAGGTACTGATGTTTTACTGTAGGATCCAGAGCGTTTATAATCCCTTGACCTCTCCACAATGTATACACTATCTGAAATCACATCGTTGACCTGATCCAACCACAAGAGTTTAGAGGGTTTTATCCAAAGCTAAACTTTTGTAGAGTGTAGATTGTTTGTTTACTGATCTTTGCACTGATAACTATGATGAGAGTTTGTATCACCATACCCATCATATTTTGCAACCTATCAAGACGAACCACAAGTTAAATATGCAGGAATGTCTGATGATACGTCTGGATCAATGGATTAAGACGAACCAATGGCCATGGACACAATTTCCTTTGGAACTGTACCCCTTCATCCTTCAAATCATTCACAAACTTTGTTGCAACAAGGTGATCAGGAGCTTTTCCATTTTCTGTCCATTCTATCAATGCTAATATCATGTCGTCTTCTGGAAGAAAAGAATATGACTGTGACGTTGAATTTCTAGGGAGCTCCTTTTGGCTTGCTCCACCTATGTTTGCAGGCCCCGGTCCACCACTACAGTGACCCATTCCTAATCAAACGTATTAGATGATCCTGGGTTCTTGAAAGGGGTCATAAGAGGAAAGAGTAAGACTTACCGGGTACTGGAAATAATCTGTAGGACTCTCTTGGATCTCTTCCTAGTGTCTTCTTAACCTGATCGTGATACCATATTGACTATTGCGACACGGTCCGCCAAACACAAAGAGCGTTCACGTAAGGAGAGTGATCGTCTTGCAGAGTCTTACAATTCCTGATTTAAAAAATGGTATCTGCCAGAGTGACTTACAGAACGGCTGGGAACGAGAGGATCTAGAATGATGAAGAACCATGTCATCAGTAATGATAGATTTAGGAGGGGACGCAGATGTGAGCTGACCGGCCATTCCAGTGTATGTCATCAATTTGCCTCCACGATTGATAAAAGGTAAAATATTTCCATCAATCGCATTGGCTTGCCCAGGGTTGGTTTGATCAGCAGTAGAACGAATCTCAAGGAGGCTTTCTGAGGTGAATTTGTACTCTGAATTGATGGAAGTGAAATTCTTGATACGAAGTCCCACAAAAGGTCAAAAATCTTAGGAAAATCATCTGGTATACATTGAAAGAAGATGTGTGACTCTTGTAAGCCAACTCACCAATACTTGGTATTTGAAAAAATCCATGGCAAGTGGTAATGTTATTTCATTCATGAACATCCCCATGGGTCCAAATGTCTCAGAGCCGTAAGTAAAGCCGGGAAACAGGAATGCTCCATCGTGATCGACCCAATCCTCAAAAGCAGATTGTGCTACGGATATCTGTTGTGAGGTCAGGCATGACGGTATGGCAAGATTGCTACTCGCGTTCCGCAGTTGGTCTTGGGAACATCGCAGTGAATCGAAGTTCGGCTTGCAAACTAGCGGATTACCAATGATTCCGTCTTGTACGCCGTCTAACATATCACATTCTTTCAGGGTATGTTCCTCAATAAGGGCCCAATCGCTCGCATTCATGAACCCGTCCGTCGTCGGTGCATTGCGTAGATTAGATTCCACCGTCCAGCCATTCCTGCAAAAAGGTTCCATAGAGTCAAACAGCTATAGTGTGCGGCACAGATGAGAGATCAAAACATTACAGATGAGTCCACCATTGCGCTGCTGCACCTGCTAATACGCCATCAAAGTCTTCAGGAAAGGCTTGTAATTCTTTCAGCCCTTGTTTACCCCCTGAAGAACAGCCTAGATAGAATTCAATTTGTTCGTTAGCGCGCTAGTGACAAGATTATCTAAGAATCAACGAAATGACGAAGGGACAAACCAATCCAGTAGTTCTTTTTAGCCTTTTTGGTGTAAAAATTCTGAACGACCACCTTTGAAAATATAGTACTGAGGTGAACGGCACGGTACCCAAAGTCGATTTGTGACTCCGGATTAGAGATAGCAAAGGTACCATCGGTTACTGTGCCATTATGACCAGTGTTTGTCGATGCGACTGCGAACTTGTATTTTGACAGCGGGATTCCCTAACAAGTGATGAGCGTCAATGGATTCGTGCCAGAGAGGAAAAAATTTATGAGCTTATCAAATGCTTGAAGCTGGGTGAGTTAAGTGACGGCTTACCATGCTATCATGAACCGAGCCACACAAAAGCAACAATAACGCAGATGAGTATCACACTCTCCTGATCTGAGAGGAATCGGTTCTTACTCAGGGAAATTGACTCCGCCTGAATCTGAATATTGGGACGGATCGCATCAAGGATTCACACTGGAGATATGAGTTTGTAAAATGATCACTTACCTCCACCATTCCCAACAAATGCAAATCTACCACTCCAGTCCTCCACAGGTAACCAAACCTCAAATTGGACCCGGCTAATTTTCGAGGTGTTAAAATGGCCTCCTGATGGTTTAAATACGAATAGGTTTCTTAAATCAACATGATGTGAAGCTTATCTCGACCTGAACCTAAGCTCACCAAATCTACAGAACTTTGGTAAGTTGATGACCACTGCTCTGTATTCTATCGTTTGTGAATCTGGATCTGAAAAGTTACCAGGCCCTGTTATATTCCAAAGAAATCGATACCAGGCCCATGTGGTATTAGCTTCAAAAGACCAAAGGGTAGAAGATTATACATATGGGGCATGACTTCACCGTGCAATTCTGAAACGTAGACTTCGATTGTAGTTTCGTTGATGGCGGTTGGGACCAGATGCTTTAGATTGGCGCAGCGAGTAGCGGCATCACCCGCCTGCCACTCGGCACTGCGATCACGTGAAGCCTGCGAGCTCGAGTGCTGACTCTTCGAAGGTACAGAGGAAGCCCAAGCTGAGAATTGACAACCGAATAAAATCACCGCGAGTGAGAATGAAAGCCATCGAATGGAAAATTCCATTGTACAACAATATATTGGGATCACTGAATTCGATCTTATCAGCAAGTGTTTATGATTTGAACAAAAGCTGAGATGGCAAATCCATTCTAATCCTTCATATACCTTTCATTTTAAAGAAGTGCTGGCCAGCTCTCCTATTGATTCATGGATGACCAGTTGTATTTGTTTCAGTTTACAGAGTGCGTGAAGGAAAGAGCACCAGCGTTCAAGTTTGCACAGCTACAGCTGTTCCATGTACAATTAAGGTGTTTTTCTTGAAAATCACACCCAACGCGAAACAAAGGCTTCGGGTTTTGTTGAGTCTTTTACTTTTTTCAAGTTGATAGATTTGAAACAATGAGGGTTTTCCCGCGACGATCCCTTGTCTTCGTGACCTCTTCTTCAGCGAATCCTTGGCAATCCATGTTCTCAATAGTCAAATGATCTTTGATTAATGTTAGGCTGCAGTAACAATTGGTCAGGAGGTATGTATTTCAGTCACTGGTGACTGACATCATATGTGACAAGGCGCGGCCAAAATGCAGATCAGGAGTGGTCAAGTCAAATTTGACAAAGCTGGCAAAAGAAGTTCAGTCATTTTCAACTGAAATTCTGCCGCCGCAGAAAATAATGGTGCCGTCTAGAAGCATAGTGAAGGTCTCATCGGTTACTCAAACTTAACCCGTCCCTCTCTCTCGCAAACACTCTTGAGCCTGAGTGTTCGCGAGGGAGAGGGACGGGTAAAGTTTGTCGGTTACCGTGCCATTATGACCAGCGTTTGTCGATGCAACAGCAAACTTGTATTTTGACAGCGGGATTCGCTAGCGAGTGAAGAGCATCGAAGGATTCGTGCCAGAGAGGACAAAATTTATGAGCTTATCGAATGCTCGAAGCTGGTTAGAGTTGAGTGACGGCTTACCATGCTAATACTATCATGAACCAAACCACCCAAAAGCAACAATAACACAGATGAGTATCACACTCTCCTGATCTGAGAAAAATCAGCTCCTGCTCATCATCCAAAGCACCCAATGTCCGGAAGACATGTCTTCTCAACAGCATCTCTTTGTGAAACTAGCTTTATTAGGGCGCGTTCACTTAAGCAATTTCTGGTGAGAAATCACATTCTGCAAAATTTAAAGTGTCTATTTGGTGGTGCATGTTTCATTTTTGCATTAAAAAATGGACGCCACTATTTATCGCCTGGTGTCCGAGCCCCGTCGCCCCATTTCGGGTCGGACACCGGGCAAAGCGTTCATTATAGCCCGCTTTTTTAAAAAGCGGGCAACCTCTTCCAAAGCCAATTTTGTACTTGTAGAATCTCACAATTCAATGAAATGCTCTTTGCTCTCAATTCAGACTCGACTCACTGCACAAATTGAGTGGCGCATGGTAAAGAAAGCATAGCATAAGCATCAGGTGGATTTCATATTCATAAACGGCGGGCATACAAGTTAGTAGTAGAAGACAAGTTCAAAAACGTTGTATACAAAACATCATAGTCATAGTCATAGTAAGTATAAGTTCAAGAATGATAAGTTCAAGGATGTCAGGTAGACAGCATACAGGAGACAAAAAATTGAAAAAAAAAAACAAGAAAAGAGTTCATTGGCCTTGTCCAATCCACATATCCATCTTGTCTTGATACTTAGCAATCCACTCAGGTACTTGGGTTTTGCTGATGGTTGGGGACTGCCCGTATATATGAGGAAATGGAATTGATTTACCCCCGGTTCCAAGGCTCACAAAATGGTCACTGTTGACGAATGCAAGGATGATAGGTTCCTTGTCGTTAGGTGGTGTGCGGTACGGAAAAAATGAACTGCAATTTCCCTCGAGTGGATCGAAAAGTACAACGGGATGGTTGTAAGCACTGGCTATAACGTAGCCTAAGTAAGGCATGCGTAACCAGTACTCCTGAGTGCATATGGGCCCCTGGGGTCCAAGTCGAACAAGTAGGTCCTTGATGACTTCGGTCACGTAAGATTTGGCAGCACGTCTGGTTTTCATTCCACTTTGGCTTTTAGAAGTTGAGAGAAGGTCTTTGTGCTCTGCCCTGTGGGCAACGAGTTCTTCAAGTAATTTACTACAAACTGATATGTACGCCTCCTCAGTGTAAATATTGAGCGCTGCAGCAATAGCATAGTAACCACAGTTACCATACGCAGGCGGATTGAATATGGACTTGATCAATGGAATAATTGTCCTAGGCAGTTGTTTCAATACTTTTTGTTCCTCGGGTTTTGTTCCTCAGGTTTTGTCAGCGTGCTTTTGGCGCTTGCAGATGATCTAGATTTAGATGAAGCTTGGCGCTTTTGATGTTGAGTTGTCGAAGTTTTCACACCATCGTGGGTTCCAATGTCGTCTGGAAGTGGAAAGACAGCGGCTCCAAAAGCCCGACTAGCCTCCAGAGTTGCTCGCACGTTGGGATCACTTCGATTCACATTCATATCTTCTGCAATCAAGGAGATGGAGATTTCCGGAATGAGAACCTGTCGAAGAAACATTTGAGGAGAGAGGGGGGAGGCCCTTGCGCCATCAAGATGTGATTCTGAGGTGAGATCGGTAATGAAAAGCAACTCGAGTGTCCTAATTATGATCTCATACCCTTGATATCCATAACTGGAACAAGAAGACTGAGGTTAGAAAAAAATTTACCCGGGAATAGATGTAAAACTCACTATCCAGGTTGTTCAACCGCAAATTGATCCATTTGAGCATCAATACCTTTCTTGCGGCCGCCTGCACATGTTTTCTTGGCCTCCTCAAAGAAATCTGACTTATTGACTCTGAGAATGATTTGGCTCAAAGTCATTGAATGCTTCTTAATCCGGCTGTGGTAGAAAAAAGGCAGACAAGGGATGAGTCCATATTTGAGGAATGAGAAGAAATATTTAGATAGATGATTGGACATACTCTGATAATCCAATAAAATCGATTGCTGTTGGCCATCCCTTGCTGACCCCAAATGGAATCAGGTCTGTTTTGGCGTGATGGAGACCACAGAATTCTGCAGTTTGCGTGAACTGAAACATAACAGATGGGTTGGTAACAGATTATTTGAAGGACACACAAAAAAAAAGATTGGTACTCACAGGGAGGGACATTGCTCCTGGACGGCCAATTCCTTTGCGGATGTTAGGCATCGCTAAGAGGAGAGCCTTAAGTTCAGTGAGCTTGTGTGATGGTGCCTTCGGGAGAGGGTTGTCACAAAAGGGACAAAGGTTTTCGTCGTCTTCCATTTCGGATTGTGAGTCAGATGAATGTTCTAAGCTGATGTCCGAGTCTGATTCATTCAATTCATGCATTGCTTCGTCTTCAAATTTTTGTTCTTCAACTTCTTCCTCATCAACAAAGAGATCGTGATCCATTCGGAACTCTTCCATTTCCTTATGAGCTTGAGACGTCGATGCTAACGCTTGACCTGATGATCCCGAAACAGAAAGAGAGGCTATCGCTAGCAAAGAAGATGAATTATGTTGAGATGAATCATGTTGTTGATCTTTGGCAGTTTGAGAGGAACGTGATGGGCAAGTGGTGATTTTGTGACCTGCTATTTTGCAATAGCTACATTTGCTAACACAAGTAGTTTTGCTTGCTTCGTCGATTTCATGTTGTGATTTCCATCGGCCTTGACTGCCTTGACTGGCTTTACCTTTGTTAGCTCTTGGTCGACCACGGTTGTCATTCTTCACCACGGCATTCAAGATTGGTATGAGACTGTAACGGTTGGTTTCAAGTAACGTGATTTCACCGTATAGTTTCCGCAGAGTTTGTTCAGGTAATTCCAAGATATGTTTGAATTTGGTTCTTGCAGCCATCAATAGTCCTTCATGAATCGCCAGTGGAATTTCCATGAAGAGGTGCCACTGGGTGTGAACTAGGTTAGGTGAAAGGTAATCAACTTGGTCGTGTTGAGAGGCTATTTCATGAGAACAGGGAAGGCCCCAAGCGCCTCTGAAAGTGTGTGAGCAAGGCGTTTGAATGGAATCAGGCAGTAAGTTGTATTGTTCCTTCAGCTTCTTGAGGGCGTAGTGCGAAACATGTCCATGGAGATCTTTGAAGAAATCAGGAAGACCCTGCAATGTTTTTGTCTGCTCAATGCCGACAGAGATGTTGATTTCGCTGATTTGGTGTTCTTCGAACCGCTTGAACGAGTTGAAGCACGTGACGAAGTCGTTATTACGGCCATCAAGGAATCTCTTTGCTCAGAAGTGACTTCCTTCAACCCGAGATGTTGAGGAATTGCCAAAATGAGGCGTCTGCGATGTCCACAAGGTCACAAACTTCTCTTTGCGATAGATCCATGTGTTTTGTAAGTAATCGAAAACGTCATGGGCAACTGCTACCTTTGTAAGTGCTTCAAGGTTTGAATCGTATTCAGCTGTAGTTGCAGATGAGACATATAAGTTCCATAACTTCAAAAACTCTGGCCATTCTGAATCAGTGAACTTGGATTTGTAATTTTTAGCGACATTCTGATTGATGTGCCATACACACAGGATGTGTGTGGCATCTGGAAAAACCGTTCCAATTGCGTTGAAAAGTGCCGGTTCAGCGTCAGTGGCAAAAGTCTGAGGTAGTTGTACAGTTGTGGAAGTGTCCTCGTTGTTAAAGATGACATTTTTGAGCTGGTTCAGAGCCCACTCGTACTGAGGCTCCTTTTCACTGCTCATGAAACACATGGCGACTGTGAAAGACTTATGAGTGTTGGTCGTACCTACAATGTGCAGTAGCAGAATGTTAAATTGATTTGTTTTGTAAGTACAGTCTAGCCCGAGAACTGTTGGAAATCAACAACGGAGGGAGATCGCAGAAGGACTGGCAAAAAAGAGGTTGAGCAAGGTGCCTGTTTCAGATGTCAAACTCCAATGTGCCCAGTTGCTTTCGGTGAGCAAGTCAAAAAGTCCTTGGACCGGAGTACGGCCATTGAGCCAGTTGGTTCTCGTTTGACTTCGGACGTTGTGTATGTCACGGACGAGGGGTTGAGATCCCGGTTCGATGTTGAGCAGGGATCTAATTTGGGATGCTCGACATCCAGCAGATCCCAATAGGTCAATTTGATCTAAGTTTTTGGGAGTGAATCGGCGGTAAACAGAGAGATCATGAGGTTGTTCAAACAGATCGTGGTTATGGCGATGCTTCAAAGGGTTCTTCAGATCTTGACTGACTATCCAGCGATCTCTGCTGGATCGGTAATTGAGGGAAACCTCGAACAAACAACCCGTCTTCTTCGATGATGCTGATCGTTTCTTAGCTTGTGATGGTGGTTTGTGGCCAGCTTTCTTAAAACCAAGTGAGCATTGTAAGTAAATCCAAACAGTGTTCTTATTCTCTGTTTTATGACTCTTGATCAAAAATGCATAGCCTTGATGCCGTGCAACTGCATACATGTACATTAAACCATTCTGCATTTCGAGGAATGCCTTTCCCACCTTTGGTGAGCAAAGCATCCGAATTAGTACAGCCCCTAGAGGAAGAAGTGAAAGAAACAGTAAGAAGACGTGATGTGTGAGTAGGCTGACGATTGGACCTACCAATCGGGGGCCATTCGGCGTCTCTTTCGTGGGGGACTTGTTCCTCTTCCTCAATTGCCTCGACCACGTTGGTTACATTGAGAACAGGGGCCGGGTTCTCTGAAGATGGAGCGATGGCAGTTGTCGAGATGATGGTAGGTGTTTGGATGTTCGAAGTGTTTGGAGTCAAAGCTGGTGTGATGGTGATTGCAGGTGTTGCAGAGGAGGTAGTAGAGGGAGTATTAGTCGTATCAATCATTGATTGATGGTTTGGGACAGGTTGGTGTACTGGGTGAAAGTAAGGAATTGTGTTTGGTGGATTCATTGTGTTGGGAAACATCGGAGCTTGATAATAAGGCCAACTACTTTGGTTAATTCCCATTGGAAGTTGGCCAGAAGGAACAACAGGTGGAGGATATCCAAAAGTGGCCGAGGTAGGGAACATCCCAGGATGTGGATATGAGCCGGGAGGTGGAAACCAATAGCCGGAAGGGTGATGAGGTGGTAGATATTGATTATGATGAGGGGGTCCTTGGGGAGGGGGGTATGCGTAATTATTGGTATGGGGGTAGGGGTTATTGGGAGTGTGGGGATGAGGGTAGTCGTTGTTTGGAGTTTCTTCCATCCGGGTGAAGCTTGGATGCGGAAGGTTTGACATTACAACGTGGTTCAAGGACTTAAGGTTTGGCGGTGACTGATACAGCTGTATGTATGCAGTGGTTGGAAGCAATGAGAAGATCTGAGTTGATTGATGAAGAAGTTATGCAGTGTTTGTGGAAGGTTGTGTGTGTGTGTGAATGAAGAAGTTTGAAAGTGGATGGACAAGGACAAAAACGTGTTGTAAGGCTGGAGTAGACCTCTTAAGGGAGTTTGATATTTTCTCTCTTTGTGCTCTTGTGCTCAGCCCACCCCTATTGGGTCACGGCTTGAGCGCTCTCGGGCGTAAATAGCAGCAATAGCCCTTTTGGGAAGTTTCATGACGGTAGAAACCGTCTATGTGCCCTTTTGAGGTTATAAGGGGCGCCAAAGATGACCAAAGGGGCCTATGCGTGGGACTACGCTGGTGGTATGAGCCCTGCAGTAGCCCTGCAGGTCCGACTCAGCCAAATGTTGGCTGAGTATCTGAAATTTTGTCGGTCAATCTCGGGTAATGCCCCAAACGGGTCGGGCGATGGGTTTTTCTTAACCAGGCGATAAATAGTGGTGTCCTAAAAAATTTACAGAAAGTGATTTCTGGTCAGAAATTCCTTTAGTGAGCGCACCCTTAACTGTGCATCACAAATTGTTCCCACATCTAGAGATTGGATGTGAATGCTTTGAAGAAAACCCAGAACTTTTAATCAACACATCTTAAGGAGTAGTGCTTTGTCCATCAAACAAAAATCTTACAACAATCTAAAAGAGACGTTTTGGTATCAGCTTGGTGATACAGAGATCAAACTTCATACCTGCATACAAGTCCTCAACCACTTGAAAGAGTTGGAATTCATGAAATTATTGAAACATCAGGATCATTGAGAAGATGGTTTGAGACACTGCCCATCAGCCAACTTGACTAGCTCCTGTCCTTTTGTCTGAATCCTGTGTAGACAGAGAATCTTGCCTGGTAGAAGCACTACTGTCAGTCTGTAGGCACAGCCTTTGACTCTTGCCACGTACAAGTAGGGCTGATTGACAGGCATCATTGATCCCCAAGCACTTCTTTGTACATTTGTTGGAAATCAATGCTGCAACACAGCAGTAGCTTCAGGTAAAATTTGAACTGTTGAATGATGAGTTGGTCATTCAGGTTGATTTCCTCTCAGCAACATTACCAACTGACAAAGAAGTTGAGAAAAACTTAGAGTAAATTTCATGTGAAATTTTGTGATGAAGAATGACTGAGATCAAATTTCAAAAGAATTCTTATAAGTAGATACAAGATTGTTATTTCCCTGTTTCTATTTATTTTTCTGAGTAATTGGCATTTATGTTTAATGTTGATGATATAATCTTTCACCTTTGTTTTACAAAAGCTTTGCGACTCTTCTTCATTCATTTTACCTCTTAACTTTCTATTTCCATTGATCTGTGAAACAATTGACTTTGAAACTTGACATGATGACACAAATCAAGTGATTATGGCATCTTTTGGGTTGATACATTGGCCAGCGGAATCGTGAGTGGTGGATTCTGTGGTTTGGTGTTTGACATTGGTGGCCCAAACCATCTCAACAACACCATTTATTCTTTTTGATCTTCTCTTATAATTTTGTTCCTGGAAGTGAATAAACAATGGACCCTTTGTTTTGATTCTGCTTGGTAATCAAAATTTCAAGTCATGATTTCTTACCACATCAATAAAGCTTTCCTGTCAAGCGTTTAATCAAAACAAATAGTCCAAAAGAATACCCAGTTGCATGGGGATCCTTGTGAGCCGTGTTGTTCCATTTGTTGTGAGTCATGCCAAAGTTGGCTCCAAACACATTTCCATTGAGTGAATTGAAGAAAAATATAGAAGCCCATGAAAAATTACTGTATTTAGCACAGAGCTCAACATTGGATTGAAAGGCACCAAGAGCAAGAGAAGAGAATTGTCCAGCTAGAAATTGCTGGATATATGGAAGATTTTTTTGACATCTGAGATCTTTGTCCATAAGTAGCACTGAATGAGCTGTCACTCAAATGATGTGATACAGTCCTGAGATCCCACAAAATCAGAAATGAAATAACTGATAAGCAGTATCACAAACTTACCTCCAGCAACTCCTTTGAGATACCCAGGTCTCATTCCAATTGCAAACATATCACCTCTTCTGTTTCTCTTGACTCTGATTGTTGATCCATTAGTTCTGATTTTATTTTGTGCAGTTCCATGTTGATACATTGTTGACATTGATTTCTCAAATTGCTTGAAGAGTCTCTCACTAGCCTCAGTCTGAATACGCTTTCCATCATCTTCAGTGTATTGTTGTTCATTGAAACAGATCACAGCAATCATCTTTGTCCTTGACATATTGAGTATGACAACAATTCCATATTTCAACTTGAGTATATTGTTTTGACCATGATCTGCTTGGTGAATAAAGTCTGTATCAGGAGGGAGACCAAACTTCTCTTTGATTTTCTCTTTGTACTCTGCTTGGGCTTTGGATTGGTCAGATAATGTTGATTCATTTGGAGTCTCAATTATTTTTGGAGTGTGAAGAATTATGTTTGATTTCTTCTCAGTACTCCTCAATAACAAGTGATCTCGATGATCCTGTTTGTGTTTGATCTCAGTTGATTTGCAACAATGTTTTTGTCGTTTATTAGCCATCTCGGATGTTTCTAAATTTAGTAATAAGAAACTTGTTAGTTAGAGTTTCCCAAAATACTCAAGACAACCAAGAGAAAGCCCAAAATTTCCAGATAGTTGGGTCACAGACAATACCAGGTATCTGTCAATATTTGATATATCATATCTGCTGTGTGGAATTCTTGGAATTGAAACCTTGGACAAGAGCTTTCTGAGGTTTTTATCTGAGGGAATCTTTGGCGCATAATGATACCTTGGACAGAAACCTCAGATAAGATCCGCCTGAGTATTTGCATCCAACAATACCTTGGATCTCTCAATCTGAGGCATCTATGTTGGCGGTGCTTTGGTGGAGCTCAAACTCACAAGTGAACCACATATCCTGGGCCCTCTGAAAACCATATATTGGTTTTCTTGAAATGATGAGTGTGCATGAATATGCATGTGTCAATACCCACTATATAGATAACTTGAGTCATAACCACCCTGTTTGATCCATCCATATGATCAGCTGTGATACAAAGAGCAACAGCCATGATGAGAGTAAGATAAATTTAAACAGATGTACAAGTGGGGCCGGAAAAGGTACAACACCAGTTTACTCCGCCCAGTACACCAGTTGGGGCCAGCAGAGTAAACTGGTGTCGTATCTTTCCCGGCCTCACTTGTACATAGAGAAAAAAAGGTGAAGTATATATAAGAAAAGGAAAATCAAAAAAATGAAATAAATGAGAATAAATGAAAGCCGCCAAAAGTTGTAATTGACTTTTATCAATAAATGTTGTTGAATAAAGGTTCAGTAGTTTTAATATTTAATTGGGGTAAATAATCAATGTCCATTTCTTATTGGGTGTGGACTAGGAAGGTGCACACTAGTCGTGGCCTTCATGTCCCTGTAGGAACTCAACGTAGTTTGATGTCCATCCAAACTTCTATGTGCCATCCTACCACGTTCTTATAGAACACAGGACCCTTACTCCTGGGACCCGCATCCTACATGATTGTGGTTTGGGGTGGTCCCAGAGGCTGGGAAACTGTAGAAGGGTTGGTTCCTACCAACCTCTCCATTCCCTGCCTCTGGAACAAGAACAGCCCGTGAGAAGAAGGACTTCTCAATGCGGGTGGGGGGCGGGTTTTTGAAAAGCAAAGAGATCTATCTCAAGGAATCTGAGGATCTCTAGCATCCGGAGAGAGAGAAGTATGAGAGTGGTGGAATAGAGAGAAAAACTTTGACTATCTCTTTCCACCACTCCAAACGCTAACTATCTGTGACACCTCTTGATAATGTGTCACAGGGTGTTGTGATACTCCTCCTGTCCACACACTTGCTTCCACACTTCACAGAAATGGACCTATGTGTGCCTCCGTGGGCTCTGGGGACACTAGCAATTGAATAGATGTAAGAAAAAATAAAAAATAAAAAGGTAAAAATAGAAGTACAGGGAAAGTATGAAAAAAGGAAACCAGAAAGATATAATGTACATTAGTTATATTTGAGGTTGTTTTTCTAATTTTTGTTTGGTGAATATGTTTATTTATTTATTTATTTTTAAATATTTTTTTAATATAAAAGTTGCTCAGTAAGAGATTTTGATCAGAACACGCACAAAGAGATGTCAAGCCTGTTTTTGAGGCACACCTTGACACCGTGGAAAGATACTTGTAGCACGTCAACATGCACACACACAGATCTTTCCTTGGACCCGGTATAGACCCATCAAAGAGGTGCCACAACTCAACTGGGAAGTTGACAGTCAGTTTACCCCAGCTGAAGACAAAGGATTCTGTAATTGTTATAAACAAATCACTATTCAAAAAGGGTGCTCAACAACAATCTCAGTTTAAATCCAACCAAAAGACTTTCAGATTTGTTTCAAAACTCTCTGTGCGTGCATGTCAATGCGCTACAAGGATATTGACATGGTGTGAGTTCTCTCAATATAGCCCATTCAGGGAGCTTGACATGTACCTGCTGCTCAGTGACACAGTTGAGTTGGTCAGTTATCATACTATATGCATGCATGGGGGTTCATCTCACTTACTTCCTTATTTTTGAATGGATGCCAACCAATGGCCTCTTGAGCTCTGGCTCTTGTGAGATTGGGGTCTTGTGTTTCCTCTTCTTCACAGTATTTGCTCTTGTTGTCTTCAAGTTTGAGATTTTCCAGGCTCTCCAGGGCCTGACTCAGCATGTCAAAGCAAATATGACCATCTGTATCATCTTTGGCATTTGGATGATTTCCAAAACCATTGCCCAGAGACTTGGATGTGTCCAGCAATTGAAGATGACTGAGAGGCAAAGGTGGATCACATAGAGTGTCTGATGGGGTGGGATTGGGTTCAAAGAGAGGGCCTGACTGCATCAAAGGTGTGGACATTGTGGTTGTGTTGTTGGGGCCATGTGCTTCCAAGCCAACCAGCATTTGGTCTTTGGTGGCCAGTCGGGACACAAATCACTGAACTTTGATTTGATGTGCAGATGTTTTGATGTGATGCTTGTAATTCAACATGCCTTGGGTGTTGCACGCTTGACATGGAAAATGGGGGTTTGCGGGGTCTGAAGAAACTGACTCAACATCTGAAATTTTCATCCGCTGATGGTGTTGTGTGTCTTTGGCATAGGATTGACAAGATTGTGATGGATCAGAGGGCATTTTTGGTGTGGTGCCTTTAGACTTTTGGATATTACACCAAAAGGAAGATGGGGGAAATAGCCATAGCCGTTCTTCCGGCTATTTTAAGATGGAAAATGGCACATGTGGCTCCAGTGTGGTCCTGGGGTTCCCCTACTGCTGCTGAGAGAGGCCTGCGGGGTTGACGATCTAAAGCTTGCAGGCTGGCAACAGAGAGCCCTGTCCATGGGCCAAAATTTGCCCTGGTGCTTTTCAGACTGGGTTGCCTATTTTTGGGCACAGGACGCCCCCATGGTATAGATTCTCATATTTATTGTAGGACTCTTGACATCTACATTCCCATTAGCTCTCCTTTGTGAAACTTCTATAGCAGCTCAAGTCAGAGCATCCTCAGGAATACAGTGAGAGTGAGAGACAATGAACCCTCAAACCTTTTATAGCAGCTCAATTCAGAGCACATTCAGGAATGTGGTGAGAATGAGAGATGATAGGGGGTTTCAATTTGTGTTTTTTAAGGTATCTTTACATTACAACATCTTCTCCAAGACTGTAAAATTTACTATAAACATAAAGAATTCAGGGGATCTTTTTAGGTGTCCAAGATGCTGTCAAACATATATTCACAGAAAAAAAAACACTGTAAAATTTTAAAAACTTGTCTGTCTTGTACAAATTCCAAGCAAAAATCTCCTAACTTGTCACTCCCTAATGAACCCTTGAACCTTTTATAGCAGCTCAAGTCAGAGCATGTTGAGGATTACAGCGGGAGTGAGAGATCATAAACACTTGAACCTGAGATCAATAAGAAGTGACTAAAAAGGTGACCATGAAAAGAAATATACTACTTGCTAACCTATTTGAACAGATAGATGATCTGGACATGAGGAAATGGAATTTTGGATAACAATGATAAAAAGTTCAGATAAGGAAAAAAACAATTTGCAAATTAGAAGAATTCTACATAGAGGTGAAAAACTTCCTCTCTCCCTTTTCCAATCCATCATATTCTCTCCATCTCATCCATGTTTTATCTCATGTCCTTATTTGCCCCAATCCATCAACAAATGGTCTGGCATGTGGTTCTCTGCTAGGTTACCACTGGTGATGGTGAAGTAGCTACATACATTATGTTCAAGATCCATAATTTACAAGCATCAGATTTGTCACTGACTCAAACCGTATTTTACCTGTTTAAGTTTTGTATAACACAGAGTATTCATTTACTGATCTTTGCACTCATAACTATGATGAGAGTTTGAGTCACCGTAGCCATTATATTTTGCAACCTACAAAAATATATACAAATCTGGATGAGCAGGGATCCATGAGGATGAAAGGATTGAGACAGACCAATGGCCATGGACACAATTTCCTTTGGAACTGTACCCCTTCATCCTTCAAACCATTCACAAACTTTGTTGCAACGAGATGATCAGGTGCTTTCCCATTTTCGGTCCATTCTATCAATGCTAACATCATATCGTCTTCTGGAAGAAAAGAATATGACTGTAAAGTTGAATTCCTAGGTAGCTCGGTTTGGCTGGCTGCGCCTATGTTTGTAGGCCCCGGTCCACCACCGCAGTGACCCATTCCTAATCAAACGGATTAGGTGATCTTGGGTTCTTGAAAGGGGTGATTAGAGGAAAGATAAGACTTACCAGGTACTGGAAATAATCTGTAGGACTCTCTTGGGTCTCGTCCTAGTGTCTTCTTGACCTGATCGTGATACCATATTGACTATTGCAACACGGTCCACAAATCACCAAGAACGTTAACGTAAGAAGAGTGATCATCTTCCAAAGTCTTACAATTCCTGATTTAAAAGATGGTATATGCCAGAGTGACTTACAGAACGGCTGGGAATGAGAGGATCTAGAATGATGAAAAACCATGTCATCAGCAGTGATCGATTTGGAAGGGGACACAGATGTGAGCTGACCGGCCATTCCAGTGTATGTCATCAATTTGCCTCCACGATTGATGAAAGGCAAAATATTTCCATCAATTGCATTGGTTTGCCCAGGGTTTGTTTTATCGGCAATAGGACGCATCTCAAGGAGGCTTTCGTGGGTGAATTTGTACTCTAGATTGATGGAAGTGAAATTCTTGATACGGAGTCCCATAACAGGTCAAAATTCCTCGGAAAATCATCTGGTATACATTGAAAGAAGATGTGTGACTCTTGTAATCCAACTCACCAATACTTGGTATTTGAAAAAATCCATGGCAAGTGGCAATGTTATTTCATTCATGAACATCCCCATAGGTCCAAATGTCTCAGAGCCATAAGTAAAACCGGGAAACAGGAATTCTCCATCGTGATCGACCCAATCCTCAAAAGCAGATCGTGCTACAGATATCTGTTGTGAGGTCAGGCATGACGGTATGGCAAGATTGCTACTCGCGTTTCGCAGCTGGTCTTGGGAACATCGCAGTGAATCAAAGTTTGGCTTGCAGACTAGCGGATTACCAATTATTCTGTCTTGTACGCCGTCTAACATATCACATTCTTTCAGGGTATGTTCCTCAATAAGGGCCCAATCGCTCGCATTCATGAACCCGTCCGTCGTCGGTGCATTGCGTAGATTAGATTCCATCGTCCAGCCATTCCTTTATACAGTGTCCATAGAGTCAAACAGCTATAGTGTGCGGCACACATGAGAGAGCAGAACATTACAGATGAGTCCACCATTGCGCTGCTGCACCTGCTAGTACGCCATCAAAGTCTTCAGGAAAGGCTTGTACTTCTTTCAGCCCTTGTTTACCCCCTGAAGAACAGCCTAAATAGAATTCAATTCGTTCGTTAGCGCGCTAGTGACAGATTATCCCAGGATCAAGAAATTCACGAAAGGACGAACCAATCCAGTAGCTCTTTTTAGCTTTTTTGGCGTAAAAATTCTGAACGACCACCTTTGAAAATATAGTACTGAGGTGAACGGCACGGTACCCAAAGTCGTTTTGTGATTCTGGATTAGAGATAGCAAAGGTACCATCGGTTACTGTGCCATTATGACCAGTGTTTGTCGATGCGACAGCAAACTTGTATTTTGACAGCGGGATTCCCTAAGAAGTGACGAGCATCGACAGATTCGTGCCAGAGAGGACGAAATTTATGAGCTTATCGAATGCTTGAAACTGGGTAGAGTTGAGTGATGGCTTACCATGCTATCATGAACCGAGCCACGCAAAAGCAACAATAACGCAGATGAGTAACACACTATCCTGATCTGAGAGGAATCGGTCCTTACTCAGGGAAATTGACTCCGCCTGAATCTGAATATTGGGACGAATCGCATCAAGGATTCACATTGGAGATATGAGTTTGTAAAATGATCAAGTTGCTGACCTCCACCATTCCCAACAAATGCAAATCTACCACTCCAGTCCTCCACAGGTAGCCAAACCTCAAATTGGACCCGGCTAATTTTCGATGTGTTAAAATGGCCTCCTGATGATGATTTGCGTACAAATTCTTTTCATGGATCAACAGGATGTAAAGTTCATCTCAATCAAACAAAGACAATTAAATTGGCCTCACCAAATCTACAGAACCTCGGTAAGTTGATGACCACTGCTCTGTATCCTACTGTTTTCGAATCTGGATCCGAAAAATTACCAGGTCCTGTTATGTTTCGAAGAAATCGATATAAAGCTAATGCAGCATTAGCTTCAAATAAATGACGGGTATAAATAATAGATGGGTCGTGACTTAACCGTGCAGGTCTGAAACATAGACTTCGATTGCATATTCCTGGATGGCAGCTGGAACCAGATGCTTCAAATCGGCGCAGCGAGTAGCCAGAGGATCCATCTGCCACCCAGGTCTGTAATCGGGTAAAGCCGGCGAGATCGAGTGCTGATTCTTCGACGGTAGAGAGGAAGCGCAAGCTGATAATTGACTTTCGTACAAAATCCCGGCGACTGAAAATATAAGCCATCGCATGGAGAATCTCATGGCGAATCGATGGCAACTGGAACACTGGGATTGATGTAGTTTTCAAGTGCTCAGGATTCCAAAGTGAAGTCGAGGTACAAAATCTAATCCAATCTTCTCCATACATGTCATTTTGATTCAAGTGCTAGCCCACTCTCATATTGATACATGGATGATCGATACCATTCATCTAATTTGTGCATACATACATGCATAGTTCAATTTCAAAGGAAGGAAAGGAGCAACCCACTTCGGACATACGTAATCGCTCAACGGTCTCGAAGCTCCAAAATGATGGATCTATGTAGCTGGAACATCGGTAAAAACGAACCTGAGGAGATCAAAAGCAAAGAATGAGTTATTGCATACGTCTCGAAAGCAAAAACAGAGAGATCGTGAATTCTGACACAAACCAAAGATTCTGATGAAGTTTATAAATGAGGGCCTGTTCACCAACCAATGTCAAATGGAACACGATGAGTTCAAGAGAAGTGGTATATCTAATAGGAAGAAGGCATTTATAAATCACGTTGGCAGAGGTTTTTGGAAGGATGAACAAACCGGTTTCTATTCGTGAAGGAAGGAAAGGAGCAACCCACTTCGGACATACGTAATCGCTCAACGGTCTCGAAGCTCCAAAATGATGGATCTATGTAGCTGGAACATCGGTAAAAACGAACCTGAGGAGATCAAAAGCAAAGAATGGGTTATTGCATACGTCTCGAAAGCAAAAACAGAGAGATCGTGAATTCTGACACAAACAAAGTATTCTGATGAAGTTTATAAATGAGGGCCTGTTCACAAACCAATCTCAAATGCAACATGATGAGTTCAAGAGAAGTGGTTCAAGCCAAAGGAAGAAGGCATTTATGAATCATGTTCGCAGAGGTTTTTGGAAGGATAAACAAATCGGTTTCTCTTGACGGTCAACGAGCGCTTCCAAAACTCTTGCGCCCATCAGTTGTCCGGCAAAAGAAAGTCAACAGCACATCAAGTGGTTGACCTTCTTGTTGACCGTCTTTGCCAAAGGATACTTGACCTTCAGTCATCAAAGAATGTTATATATAAGGGTCCAATCATCGCGTGCTTCTTCGAGGTTGTGTACACTGATGTGGTATAGTTTGTTGAGACGATTGCGAACTCACATTTTATTGATACTTTTATGTTCTGGGGCTCTTCTTAACCAAAGGGATATTTAGAAAAAAAGGTAAAAGGGAAGTTGCGATTTTAAATCTCTGGATGAGTATGAATTATATGCAGCAAGAAATGAGCCGATGGCCAAATTATATTACAACTAGAATTAGCAAATTAGGCAAAATCCCCCAAAAAATTAATCAACATCAATGTTAAAAAGGAGCTCAAAAACAAGTCTAGCTTGATAAAGCATCTTCTACTTTGTAAGATCTGAACACTCTGTGTCAGCGTTTTTCAGAGGATAAAAGAGCTTCAAGGAATCAAATTCAAAAAAAGTGAAAACAAACAACAAAGAACACATATTAGCCAAAACTCACAACAAGCAATATCTACAATTGGAAACTGTTTTTTTGTCTTTGTTTTTTTATCAAAATGCTATATGGATGGATGTGTGAAGGAAAGTAGCTTCTTTGATGACCTAAGAACGAAAAGAAAAACATATGAGATGGAAAAAAGAGTAGGCTAATCAAAAAATCCTGCAAGTACCCAGAAAATCAAGAAACCAAAACCAAAAAAGATTGACAAGAAATCTGTTCAAAAAGATATGAAGGAAAGAATATGATAATGATAAGAATGAAAGATAAGAAACGGAAAGATGAAATCGATCAAAATTAAATGCAATTAAATTGGACTGATGAGCCTAAAGAATCTCTTGATATGGAAAATTAAATATGTCACATCACAATGCGAAATGGATAAGTTAAGATGAAACGAAACTGGACTCTCTAAGATGAGAAAGACTAAAAGATCTATGAAGTTCAACACCACTTCAAATCTAATGCCGAGAGGGAATGAGAGAGGGGCCAGCCAGCAGCAAAGAATGGTCCCGAACGAATCGGTTCTTCGATATCTTCTTCTTCTTCGCCGTCGACCATACCCCAATCTGTGTAAAAAGCAACAGTCACGAAATCAGCGAACGTTTACGACAGTGAATGGAACGTGGAAGAGTTATCATGTGGCATGTGATACTCAACTGAGTTTACCCATCGAGACGTTCCAAGCGACCAGCGCTTCCAAGGTTTGATAACTTTCTCTACGTTCTTCAGCTTCAAATTTTGTATGGATATCGCTCCAATCAGACAACATTCGACCGGCGCTCGTCAAAGCTCTTCTCGCCTCAGCCCCAAAACCAAGTCGCATCAATGCTTCAGCCCTATAGACCGCAGCTCGAGCGCGCCAACAACGAGGAGCGGATTTGTCACACATCAAGACAGCAGCTTCGCCAGCACAGACCGCAGGGGCTTGGTCTCGAAGTTGCAAAAGACGAGCGGTTTGAGCCAAAAATGGCCAATCCTGTTGACCGAGTCCTAAGAACGCAGTACGTTGAAGTGCAGCTACTCTAGCAAGTAATTCCGGTTCTATCTCGACAGCTTTTGAGCTATGTTCAGACTCGGTAGGTGAACTTGGAGTATTAGGATGTTGAGTTAAATCCATTGGGCTGAGGTCGTTGTTGGAGGTTGTTAAGACTGAAGACATATTGTTGAGAGGGTAAAGTGATGAGTTAGATGGTAAAGGTTTGAAAAGATGGTGAATGATTGTAAGACAGAGATATGAAGATGGATAAAAGTTTCGAAGATTGTAATGAGATTGGATTGGAATAGATTGATTCTGTTTGATTGTCTGTTTAGAAGTAAGAACTATAGTTTGATAGATTGTTGATGAATTTGAATGTGAGAAGCTTAGACTGAAGTTGTGACGTTTGATGACCGAATTGGTAAACTTGAAGAGATTGCAATCTAATTTTAAAAAGAGAAGAAGAACAAGGACTGAGTCGAACGAGTTGACTCTCAGACTGGGGTTCTAAAATTTAAATTCTAATTTAATTTTAAAATCAAGATTAAAAAGGAACTAAAGGAACACTTTTGATTTAATTTTCAAAATTTAAGTCTACTTTAGTGAAAAAATTACCAATCCATTTTTCAAGTCAGTTAATTTTAAAAGTTAACATGCATGTATTCTAACTTGAAAATACAACTTACCCTATCAACTATCTTGGTTACTATTTCAGGTCAGTCCAGCTACGATCGCCAAACCACAAGGACAACCTAATCGCAATTATTATCAGCTGAGATGTTGTTTTTGAACCGGAATTATTAATATGAGTTAAGCAGCAGGTTGATTGGATTCAGATCAGAGTTTGTTGCAAGTTCTATGAGAATAATAATAATGGTGCTTTTGATCAACCAAGGGAGAATGGTTTGGGTTGGTATCCCCAGAGTAGCCCTTATATATTTGTTTTGTTTTAGTTCAAAAATCATTGATCAACCAGTTCTTTTGAACACACCCTAAAAATGTCAGAAATCTGACTCGCATATCGTGATTGTGATTCACTTTCACAGGCACAGCCCTTTCAATTTTATGATCAAGAAGCGAGAAATGACGACCGATTTAGTCAAGCTAAAGATGATTTATTTACAAATCAATTCACACAAATTTGCTCTTGATATATGTACATAAGGGTAGGGACCAATCATAGGGAAAGGGAAAAAATCAAGGATCACTAAAAACCTTACCCGATCTCGTCTGATCGGGTGATGATTCATCATGATTATGATGAGCAATTTGGTCATCTCGGTGGGGTGGGAGGTCGGGTCGGTCGCGTGAAACCGCCTTTCTTCTGCTTCTGTTCAGCCTTACTCCTACGAGGGCTTTCAGGCTTTCACTCGTGGAGGACTCTTGGCTGTCCAACGGCCAAGGAAGGCAGTGTGAGGAGGTGTGAGGGCACTTCGAGGGACGCCTGCCTCCAGGCTGCGAGTCAAGGGTGCATACTTAGCTGACTTGACGCTGCCTCTTTGACACAGCCAATTCTCGCATGTCCGTGATCGCCTGGTGTACTTGGCTTGGTTCACCCGGCTAAGTCTATCTACACCACGGAATTTGTCTCTGCGAATCATGACGTGTTAAATTGTCGTTCCGTCCTACTTGTTGAGCGGTGTTTTGAGTACAATAACATTTGTGAAAAAGGGGGGGGTATCGTGGATTGTAAATAAACCTTATCTAAAGTCATTTTCCAGCAAACCTCAAGCAAATCGGCCCTGAATTGTGATCAAGTTTTTGGCAATTGCGCTGTACTATGTCCACACAAATGGAAAGCCACGATTCATTAGACTACAAGATTCCAGCCGAGGGGAAGTTGCCCTTCGCACTAGGAGGAAGGTACGAAAAAGGGCAACGCTGAAGGAGGGGTCTAAGGGGAACTACTTCCACTCACAGAGTCTCACAATCCTCTCGCTAGAGGTATGAACATATGATATATTCCTTCAAGTACCCTCGAACCTGGATCAACTGGATCGCGATTCAGTCAAATCTGATAGAGACACTGAGCGGCACTGAGGGGGACCCTACAACGACTATAGTTAATTCGTGGTGGGTGGACGATTAGTTTCTTATCGCTTGGAGTGTTGTTATTTGAGTTATAGTGCCGTGAAGAACCCTCTGACTGCCACTCAGGACCAGGTTACGGAAAAGGTAGTCAGTGGCTGTTTCTACCAAGTTTGTACACTTATAAGATAAGTGGTAGGAGTCACTGAGGATGGGAGTTGTGGACGCTTTCATGGATGCTTCCTGTCATCCCAACTCAACAAAGTGACCCCTCCGCCTCCGGGGGACGTCTCTGCGGTTGGTGGGGCTGGTGTTAAGTAGCCTCTCATGCGGTAGTTGTTCGTTAGTCATGTTTGCGCAGCTGCGTCATAGCCGTAGGGACGTCTGAAACTGAACTCGAAGAGACTAATTTGCAGAGGTTGAAATCTTTTTCGTTCTTTGCTGAAGTGGTTGCACTGGCAGGCCAGGAAGTGATGGTTCATTGACTCGACCTGCTCCTAGCAATGTGAATGTGGGCTGCACATTCTCGAGTGCAGTTCGCCTAGCTGCGATGATCAGATAAGTAACTCAAGGCTTTACTTCAGCTTGCCACGTTTGAAAGACGAGCCGCTGGGCTTCCGGAAACCGATCCACTGGTTGATATTGATAAGGGATGAGTCGGACAGAGCTCTTTGATTATCATTGGTCTGTTAGCTCGCTCGAAGAGCCGTTCGTCGTGGCTCAACTCTAGCTAAAATAATTGAGGCTACGACATACTTCCCGAAGCCCTAAGCTCAGGAGGCACTCTAAGCAATGGTCAAGAAATTCAGATTTGATAGGCTGATTGTGAGTACCAAAACTGCTTTCAATAGCTGATAGCAGTTCAATCGCCTCGACAAGATTTCTTGCTATGAGAGTCAGGAATACTTATAGTTATACAATTTGATCAGCTCCTTAACCTTTGTTGCAAACCTTTCAAACGTCATCGATTTTTTACTTCACGTAGTCATGATTCTTCAAATCTGTAGCATACTTCAAGTACATCAATTGAATTCCTCCTCGCATTTTTCTTCAAATCTAGTGTTTATTGTGATCTCGAAGTCAGAGGGTTTAGTTCAGCAACAATCAAGTGTACATCTATGCTGCCTCAAGCTTCCTACAGCAGCACTACTTCATATGTACACTAGGTATAGGATTTGATCTCCTTCACTCACTTGAGTTTGCAAAGATATCATGTTTCAGTTATTCTGACACAGTTTGGTGCCGGCACCACGTACATGACCTTGAAAATCGACGACGCCTCCAAGTATAACACGCCTCTGTCAAGACATGAGGAAACGAATTCCACATCTTGTGCCATCTCCATTTCCATAGTGTGTCTTGATTTGATTCTAAGAATACCGCCAATGGAATACTTTGTATCGGAACCCCTCTACATTCACGGATATCAACAGATGTCTGAAATAAAGGTGGCACAGGTGATACCCAGGTTCATTGAGGTGAAGCTCAATGTACTCAAAAAGAAAATCAACAGGTATAATTCTATTGCAAGTTCACAATTAGGATCTCCCAGAGCACAATTTCGCAGAAACAAAATTAAGAAAGAATTTGAATATGATCCTAAGATGATCCTATGTACAACTGAGAAAGAAATCTTCGTAGTTTCAAAGATTTGTAAAAAGATCTAATCTATGCACCTATCTTATAAAGATGTTCATGGAGAAAAAACGATCGGGAGAATGGTATAGATGAAGCTTACAATAAATAAACATGATACCTTTTACATAGGTTAGTTGACTTCAAACTCTGGTAAGCAGATTGATTTCTCTTAACGTTATGATGACCGTATGAGGCGGCTAAGAATATAGAAAGAGAGATAGAAAAGAACGTTTTGATTGGGTTTGCAAATAGTAGAATAGATAATTAACGATCACAAGATAGAAAGAAGTATTTCAAAACAACCTCTTCAAAGGATCGACTAGGATGATTTATTAGATAAATTCTTGCCTTGTGGCTCAAAACATCATTCATACTCTCTCATTTCTTGGCTCTTCTACGTTTAGGTTTGCAAACCTTTTTCCGTCCATTATCCCCGGCGCTTGACTATGGTGAAGGAAGACGAAGACCTCTTCAGTGTGAGTGAGTATAGTGATTCGACCTCAGTTCAACGCATTGAAAATCGAGATGGGTTACTTACAGACTGGCCACCCTTGTCTTTGTCTGACTTTCCTTTTCCATCTTTCTTATGGTCATCATTCCCGGTTCCGTTGCCATTGCCGTTTCCATTGCCATTGCCGCTGCCATTGCCGCTACCATTGCCGCTTCCATTGCCGCTGCCGTTGCCGCTGCCGTTGCCGCTACCATTGCCGCTGCCGTTGCCGCTGCCGCTGCCGTTGCCGCTGCCGTTGCCGCTGCCGTTGCCGCTGCCGTTGCCGCTTCCATTGCCGCTTCCATTGCCGCTGCCATTGCCGCTGCCATTGCCGCTGCCATTGCCGCTGCCATTCCCGCTTCCATTGCCGCTGCCGTTGCCGCTGCCATTTCCAGGACCTTTCACATCTTCATTTGTATGGCCATTTCCATTTCCATTTCCATTTCCATTTCCGTTACCATTTCCGTTACCGTTACCATTACCATTACCTATTATATACGAGATCCGATGTCAGTTTTCTTTACTTAATTCAAGACAGATATTTTAAGATTCTAATTACCATTGTTTGGGTTAGGAGATCCATTATTGTTGTTAGAGTTTCCATCGTTTCCATTTCCTACAACGATATAGATTCTAAGAGCGTTCGGTTTCACATCCACAAAGATCGTCATCAGTGTATGCAAAAATAAACGCAAAATCGAATTTAACAGCTTACATATCTTCAATTGAGCCACGACCAGCCACCGGAACTACAACGGGTTGGTGGTTCATGGCTGAGGTGATGGTTGCGAGACGGTCTGTTGAAGTCAAAGAGCAGAACACATCATATCATCAATCAAGACGAATTTACAAAGAAATGCAATGTAATTGATATTACTTACATTTTCCGTCGGGTAATCCTTGGGGGATGGTAGTAGTGAGGATCCCGTTGTTTGCAGTATCTGAGATTCCTTTGAAAAAGACAACCTTGAAGAAACAACTTCATAAGCGACTATCTTTAACACCGGACAGGTAGGATCATCTTACATACCTTTGAGGTATCAGGGGCGTCATCATCTTCGCTCATCTGTTGGCAAGTCACATGAAGATGTCCTTTGATTAAACCTGCCGAGTTCAATTGTTGTGGTGCGCCGAAATAAGTGTTTGAAGGTGACGTAAAAAAGCCTGATGAGAGATGATGTATTAGGAAAGTTTTGAAAATGTGAGTTCAACTTGGCTCAGAATTTAAAGGCTTACCAGTCTCGAGATTTTTGACTGAAATCTTAATCTCAATCGGCTGATTAGCTTGTATTTTCTGTGTAGAAGTAGGACTCTTTCTAGATTAAGAAAAGCCGAAAAAAATAATCTCAGTGTCTGAACGAGTTTCGTACATTCCACGTTGTAGTATTTTTTTCTATTCTAAATAGAGAGAAAACATAGTGAATAGTAGACACGAACATTTTCACAGATGGCATGTTTTGCTTGCTAGGGATGCTACCGATCGGAGTGGGATTGCATGATCCTTGCTCGACTTGTTTTCCGTCCGTAATGGTCTGTCCAACGCAGAAATTGATCTGTACCCATCAAAAAGCAATATCATTATTATCATGTCACGCTCTAAAACACTAAATATGATCATTTGAGCCACATCGAAAGAAATGAGACGTACAAAATTGTTGGTAGATGTTAAACTGGGAGCAAAATGATCTGGATTTGATTGATCTGTGATTCCGTTGGACTTGGGGTTGTTCTGGATGACCGATGGGTCTAAACACGTCGAAGTTTTGGGATCTGAACTCTTGCCAGCATTTTGATTACCGCCATTACCACCATTACCGCCATTACCGCCTTGACCGTTGTTGTTGTTGTTATTATTATTGTTATTGCTCAAGTTGACGCCATTGTTAAAGTTATTGTTTGGACCTTTCTTGTTCCCGTTGTTACCGCCGGCACCTCCAATATTGAACGAGTTGCCGAATGATCCGCCGTTCTGCGCAGCGGCCCTCCAGACAAACAGAGCAAAGAAGAAAAATCGAGAAGTGATGAGCATGTTGATTTTCGTCAGAAAGTTTTTGTTGGTTATTCCCTCCAATGGCCTGCGAGTTAGTATAAAAGACTATCGATCTCGAAAAAACGAGGGCCTGCTCTGAAGAAAAATCAAAAATCAAAGATAGATGAAAGAAGAACAAGAAATCAAATCCAATTTGTAGAAAGAAGGTCCGAAGCAAAGAAGCAGTATTATCGAAGTTGATCCAGCAGAAAAGTAAATAGAATTGTGAAAGATGAAGATGAGATGAAAAGGAAAAGGAAAAGGAAGGAGTTAGAGGAAGGGGAGGTTTAATCAAACGAGACCATAAAACAGACAGACAGCTAGGCCTAAGAAATTGGGCTTCCGGTCCTAGAGAAACTCTGTAGACAAGCAAGTCACGAAATGTTCAGCCGCTAGTTGAGCCAGGAAAGATGCAGAAGTTGCTGATGAACAACAGCTATGCGTTGTCAACTCAGCTATATGCCTCATGTCCGAAGGCCGTCCTCATCCCCATCACGCCTTAGCTTCATTTGCTTGACAACAAGTAGAAAAGGATACCTTTGTCAAGTTTGATATCACATCAGGTGAGCAACGAATTATCGGGAGGTGGCTTGAGTTTCTAGGTGAGCATCAATTCTAAGTGCTGTCCCAAGCACAAATGACTCATCCATCGGATATCTGTATATCGTTTCTAGTCGATCGTCGTGCCGAAAGAACTCATGAGAACAAAGAGATTTGGTAAAGCACCGGTGTGGTAAGCAAATAACAGTCATATCGTGCCCCGGTTTTAACATAACAAGTGATGTCCGAGGCACGAGTTTGCCTCGCGAGGGTGAGTCTTGAGGGACTTCACGGTTTGGAAATTTGCCCTCAGCTTTCGCTATGTTGTGAGATGCACATCTGTATACAAACTTGAGAAAGAAAGAGATCACCATGATTGTATCTGTGGTTCTGGTTGCTGAGGATCTCATCAGTTGCGTCGCGATGCTATCGCGCCGTAACTCAGAGCGAAAGTTTCAGAAACTCAACAATGGCTGTGACTTGCCCACGCACATCTGCACCTACTCATAATGAAAGGAGTGCCTTGAGACGGGCAAACAGAGATCGCTTTGATTGCTACTCATGTTGGAAGGCACGAACCAAATAAAAGTCACGATGACATATGCAAAATATCCGCAAATGTACACTGCGGACAACCTTTGTCCTAGGATGAGTTGAACCTGCCGATTTTCCCAGACGACTGAAAACCAATGCAAATTTCAAAACATCAGGGTTTGAGTCAGCTGCCTCTTGACCTTTATCGCCACTTAGAGTTTCATCCGGCACAGCTCGTGATTAATTTCGGTGGCTGTGTGCTTTTGTGCAAAAGATATCAAGATAGAGTAGGCATTCTTGCATATGGCAACAGCTCAATTTCATATTTGCACAGCATGATCAGTTACTGTTAGGTCGTGATGATACAAGGGATGATCCTGCCAATGAAGATTGAGCGCTGGAATAATTTAAACAATCAATCACCTCGATGCTCAACGATCAAGGAGCCTCATGAGATGTCTACCCTCAATGTACATCACAAAGATCCAAAGTACAACAAATGTGGACCATGACTCTAACTACCCGTCAGATTGATTTCCCAAGTCAGATACGTGAATAGTTTTAAGCTCAATTCCCTATCATACTCAAGAACACGAGACGCATGAATCAAGACAAGATCGAGGAATGAAAAGATTAGAAATCATACTACTAACCTATTTCTCAAGTATAGCCTCCTTAGGTACCCCAACCTTCTCGATGAGATACTTTCGTATGATATTTCTTTGATCACCTTGACAGTGAAGTACTACAGCCGCACCTTCTTTCAATAAGGTTTTAGGTAATTGAAGTGACGGTGAGGTCGTAGCAGGAAGTACTTGGAGATGAGGAAGGAAAATGACCATCAGCCAGAAGAACGTGCTATTCCTCTATCTCTCTCTGAAAAATCACTTACTACTTGTGCTGACAGCGCACATAGTCCTGAGCTGTTTTGCTAGTCGTACAGGATCGATCTCATATAGTTCCAAGCCTATCATGAGAGCACGAGGTCAGTACTGACTACATCAAAGTAGAGAAAATCTGGAATCATACCTGCAATTTTAGTAGCATACTTGTTAGAACCGCCTCTCTTGAGAGACATGTCGATCATAGGCACAGGTCCTTTCCTATTAACCGTAGTTCAACATCAGTCGCAAGGCAATCAAAGAAAAAGAAGTCAGCAGCTTGATAATTGCTGGTAGTATCGATAGAATATACTTGCTTCTCTACGATGACTTCTGATCCTTTGCTCATCCTCCACCAATGGTCCAGAGCATCTATCAAACCGGAGAATAGCTTCTCTCGCGTACAAGGATCGGAAGGCTTATCAGACCCAATGGCTTCTGCTAGAATAGGATCCGCAACAATCAACCGCTGGGCTGATCCTTTCAACGTGGGTGACGTATTCAAGGCGACCCGGATAGTTTGCCGATCATGGAGCCCTTGAGGACTGTTTCAAACATGGTCAACACCTATCACTATGAGATGGAAATTTTATCGGATGGTGGAGACAGCAGCTCACTCAAGATTTAAACACTCGAAAAGGCGTTTTTGAGCAGGGTTTGCCGCCTTGAAGACTTGACTGATGACAATTGATGTTACGGGTGCAGTCTCTGATAATACAATCACTCCTGGAGACTTTGAGCCGGCTCCTGCTTGTCTTGCGGCTTGTTTTTCTGCATCAGCTATTGTACGATATTTGGAAACGGTGTCCAGACTGCGATCCCGCGTATGTAGGCCAGAGAGGTGAGTTCCCAGTCATAGGAACGCAAAGCATAGATGAATGAAAAGTAAAGGAGCCCACGAATCATGCTTGAGGTTTAAGCTACAGACCATTAGCTCGCCTCCCTTACGTTCTTCTTTGACGACTAAAAACTCTTTCTTTTGCATCGCCTTGAGCCACTTGTGTAAAGTTTTGAATGAAGAATCTTTAACGCCCACGTTTTTGGGACAGTCATGCGGACGTAAGGGTAAGATGTGATTCGAGTAAAATGCAGAGGCTGGCATAGGTAACGTGCAAGGCGGTTCATTCACCATACAGAGTCGGAGTGCATTTTGAAGAACAACATCCACTTCTGCAGCATTGATAGGTGAAGGTCAGAGAACGGATCACAATCGATGCGCGAAAGACGAATCGGATGAGCGCACCATCGGGAGGAAGCTTGAGATCCGGCGATTTCTGTGGGACGACTTTGGGTTCAAGTTCGAGGGACTGGACTTCGTTACAAAGATCTGCCTTTGAAGGATCTTCAGGTATCGTTTCGTCTGTTACGTCCGGACTGGTATCAAGTTTTAATTCTGAAGGCGGACGTTTCGAACCACTCTGCCACAAAAAGTCGTCTTTCGCATGAATCTAGGGAGGACATACAAATCAAATCTCGAAAGTAAGTGTAGTTCTTTGTAGCAGTCTTGGATAGGGAACACGCGCAGGCACTCACAGTGACAACTGCTTTCCCAGTGGCCAAGCTGGCCAGTTCGTCCCCAGAGATCTCCAAATAGCCCACCGCCCAAGGAGCTCCGCTATCAAAGTCTGATATAGTTACAAGAGTACGGGAAGCAAGCCCCTTGAGAGTTTGCTTAGTCGACTGAGACACCCCGGGGATCATAAGGTCTGCGCCACCCGTGAGTTTCTCCAGGACAGCCTGATTGGTAGGAAGGATCGGAAGCAAGCTTGGAAACTTCAAAATTGTGTATACTAGATATATACATAACCCGACCGGAAATTTCGGAACATAGCGGTCAATAAATTCCTTTACGAAAAGTTGAGATGTTTCGAGTATATCAAATTGCCTCACGTGAAGGGACCAAGATTCCTTCGCCCTTATCCAACTTAAGCCATAAAGGCTCTCCTTCTAAATCTGTGTATAACAATAAAGGATTCTTGAGATGAGTAGATACTCTAGCCATCCGCAAACCTTCTGGCATAAGTTGCTGAAGAAGTTGTTTATGAGCGGGTAAAAGATTGGTAAAGAACGTAGAGATGGCTTCATTGATGAGTTTCCTTCTTGCAGATGAGGAAATAGGTGCAGCAGGTTTAGTTTGATGAGGTCGTTTGAACATTTTTTTCGTTCGATTGGAAAGAACGTTTCTGAAGAAAGAAAAAGACGAGAAAGATGAATTGATCGAATGGACAAGTTGAAGAAATTATGTGTTTCGATAGAGTTCTGTGAGCTTCGGTATGGGTTTACACCATACCGGCTGTGTATGTAGCCAATTTCAGATATCGGAAAAAGAAAATTTGAAGAACCAGCTCTGCAACTTCAACGATTTCAACCATTAAAATGACCAACCCACTCAGCTCATCAAGCAAGGATGAAGTCAATCAAAATGCTCAAGGAAGTAGTTCTACTCCAGAAAAACCAACCCGAAGACGGTTTGTCGGCAAATCAGGTCCAGCTCAGAATTCCGGCTCAAATCAAAAACCAATGATCACACGTGCTCATCAAATCCCGATTTCAATATCAGAAGATCCAATATTAAATTTAGCGATATCTGAACTATTACCCAAAAATTACAATTTTGAAGTTCTTAAAACGATTTCTCAAGTCATTCGTCATAAAATTAAAGTCTTAGGATTACAAATGCCTGAAGGTTTACTTCAATGGTCTTTAGTACTTTCTGATCTGTTTCGAAAGTTTTGTCCTGATTGTGAAGATGTAGTGGTAATGGGAGATGTAACTTATGGTGCTTGTTGTGTTGATGATTATACGGCTAAAAGTTTAGGATGTGAGATGTTGGTACATTATGGTCATTCTTGTCTAAGTAGGTCTCTTTTACATACTCTCTTATTGAAACATAGCATCTTGTTCTGATGCTTGGTTTATATTTTCAAGTTCCTGTTGATCAGACCTCAATTAAGACTTTATACGTCTTTGTGGAGATTGGTATCGATAGAAGTCACCTTCTAGACACTGTCCGAGCCAATTTTCCTATACACCTTCCTCCAACCTCTTCACTTCATGCTGAATGCTCAACTCCAACAAGGCAAGGTCATACTCAAATTGAAATCGCTCTGGAAGAGGACCCGGACGAACCATCAACAACACTCACGAAAGTCGTTCATTTGGCCGTTGTCGGGACAGTTCAATTTGTAGCTGCTGTTCAAGGGTTGAAAACAGATTTGGAACAGCTATCACCATCACCCCAGCTCTCAGAGCGGCTGAAAATCACTGAAGGTCCTGACTCTCACGAGATTCATCGCGGAAGATCGTCATCCATTCAGACTCCGATCGAGTTCCGGGTCACAGTTCCTCAAGTAAAACCTCTTAGCCCTGGTGAGATTCTAGGATGCACAGCGCCCAAGCTGAACTCGGATGTTGATGCAATACTGTGTGGATACCACGTTCTTGTTCCTTCGAAGAGTCTCCTCGCTATTAGTCCTACCTAACTGAGCTGACGAGTCATCTGGCCATTGAATTTATCAAATTTAGGTATGTGGGTGATGGAAGATTTCATCTGGAGTCCATCATGATTGCAAATCCTACCATTCCGGCTTATCGATACGACCCTTATGAAAAACGGATCACTGAAGAAGGATATGATCATCGACAGATGCGTCAAATCCGAGGAAAATCGATTCAAAAGGCTATGTCGAGTTTGAAGGAACTTGAAGATCAAGCTGGATCCGGGAAGACTGATGATTCGAAAACTTGGGCCATCGTCATCGGTACTCTTGGACGTCAAGGTAGTCTAAGTGTCGTCAATGTGAGTAAGACTTAACTTGATCAATTCCACGAGTGCTAATCTTGGTTCAATTGCATTTCAGTCCATTTCAACCGGTTTACGAACCAGAACTGGTAATCACCATCAAGTTCCAGTGCCTATACTCATATCAGAACTATCACCACAAAAATTAAGTTTATTCAAAGATCACATTGGAATCTTTGTTCAAACTTCTTGTCCTCGTCTTAGCATTGATTGGGGTGAATCGTTTGAGGTACCACTCTTGAGTCCTTACGAAGCTAAAGTAAGTTTAGGAGAAGCTAAAGGGTTTACTGGCATGGATGAAGATGGAGTGGGTCTTTTAGAAAACTATCCCGTAAGTTTAAACTCTTGTTGTGATTTTCTTGGATCTCTTGATGCGGAATGAAGTCTAACAAAGTTTTTGGAATGGAAATGAATCTCAACTACTCACAGATGGACTTTTATGCTGATGACTCACTGGGTGATTGGACACCAAGGCATGGAAAAGGTATTAAATCGACTCGAAGACCAAAAGCTGTATAAGTATACCTGTTCTTTTTTTTTTGAAAAAAATGGGGTCCTTCATGGTGTTTGATGAATTTGTACGATTTCTTAATCTATGTGAGTTCATGTGAATGTAATGAGGTTGAAAAAAATTCTACTGAGTCTCTCAAGATTCAAGTGAGAATAAAGATCTTAAAAATGGAAAAATAAGAAGTAAATCAAGGAACAGAGAATTTGACTATTACCCTTTCATTCTTGAATTGTTTGAATGTTTTCAACCTTTTATTCTTGAACAATATTTAACAAGGATTCAATTAGATTTTTGTAAAATTACAAATCTTTTTCTTCATATAATAATAATAATTTAAAACCATCAACCCAGATGTGAATGAAGTAATGATCAAACTTTTAAGGATGAAACCTTTTTAAACTTTTCACAATCTCACCACACCTCCAACATTCCCAATTCTGATTTAAATGTGAAGATCTATGTTTCAAAATCGAATTAATTAAACAAGAATAACAATAAAGACCATCACAACAATCCACAACATAAGGTACTTTCACTTGACATTCGACAGTTTGAATCAAATTTAATGAATTAGGTTGGAATGATTGATGAACTTGATGATTCGGATTGTTAAATGGGTTTTGATGAGTCGAATTAGAAATACAAATCGGACATGTTGTTTTGGGTAAAGATTGGTATGGTGTTTGTTTGGGTTTAGATACTTGGTTTGGGTTTGTGAGAGATGAAGTCGGTGTTGGGGTTGGGTTTGGGTTTGGTCGGAGAGATAGGTTGGATTTTAGGAATTTGGAAAGCTTGGATTGGATTTGAAGGATCCTTAGTTTGGTTCTTTTGAGATTTATAAATGGTAAGATGAAGATAATAAAGTCCTATTGATTGACCCAAATCCAAAGAAAAGTCAATAAGAATCATCGGATCAGTTCATGATAGGTTAAGATTACTTACTGTGATGGATTCCCAAACTAATTGACGATTTAAGTATTCAAAACTAAGAGTTTGATTCGAATTGATCGAATTAGAAGAAACCCATTGAATCTTAAGTAATCTTTCCATCAAAGATCTATATTGACCATTATATAAGAAGATTGAAAAATTAATGAATTTTGCACTTGAATCGATTTGATCTAAAAGATTATAAGTATCCCAAATGAATCTAAACCAATATTTTTTCCGAATTGAAGGATGAGTTGATGATGAAAATAATGAAGATAAGTTTGGTGTTGATGTATAATCTGACCATGAGGATGATAACATATAATCACGTAATCTTGAATTTAAATAAGAAGGTAAGATCTTTAAGATGATATAGATTGAAAGTTGATGTGAACCAAGGCTTTGATTTGTTGATTTGTATTGAGTATGATGATTGGATGATGATGGATTGAATTTCAAGTTTGAAAGTTTTGAACCGAAAGTCGTTTGATGGTGTTTAAGAGAAGTTGAAATCCAATAAAACTTTAAGAATGTAATGAATTCTAAATTGTATCGATCGAGTGAGATTGATTGAGTGATTTGATGAATTGATGGAATTAATGTTTCCCAAAGTTCCTGGTCTAGTAAACTTGAATGAATTTGATTGACTCGATTGAAGTTCATCATGAAGTGAAGTATCAGTATCACCAAAGAACTCTTACTGAGAAGTTAGAACCAAGAGCAAGGTCATGAAGAAGGAAGTGGTAAACAGCTGAGAATGAGATGCAAAGCTGAGATATCACAGATCTTTCAATCCAAATGTCACAGATTACAATCAGATTTCCTTTTACATATACACACTGTCACTTCCTTGTGCGTTGCTCGATTTCACAATTGACCAATCCAACTCAGAGTCACCAACCAGCTTCATTTCTCAACCAATCAACCAATCAAAACAAATCACACCATGTCAACTTGGGACTATGTAAGTCTCTTATAATCCAACAACAATTGTCATTCATTCAAACCTGATCAATTCATCTCTTCAACATTTCTTTAGATCATGAAATTTGTTGAGTCACAATTCATTTCAGATTCACATCATCAATCATCAATCTTTCTTGAATATTTACATTTCAATCTGTTAATTCCTTTGGGTTTCGAATAGGTCGTAGTAGGAGATTCAAATACTGGAAAATCTTCATTATTAGTACAACTTACTGATAAAAGATTCTTAACTCAATCTGATCCAACTGTTTGTAGTCATCTTTCAATTCTCTTCATCAATTCAAACATTCATATTTCTAATCGAAAGTTGATTCTTTTTTCTTTCTTTCGGTAGATTGGAGTGGAATTTGGTGCTTCTTTGATTTCTTTACCTAATGGAAAAACTATCAAAGTTCAAGTTTGGGATACAGCTGGGTATGAGATTTATAATCTTGATTTTAATCTTAATGTTAAACTAATATGAACTAATGAATTTATTTTATTTTATTTTTCAAAGTCAAGAAAGTTTTCGTTCAATCACTAGGTCATATGTACGTAGTCAAACTTTTCCAACTCTAATTCTTTAAACTAATCTCAAAATTTCGATTGATCTAATCCAACTCTTTCATATGATATTACATAGTATAGAGGTGCATCAGGTGCATTATTAGTGTTTGATACGACTTATCGTCCATCATTTCAACATTTAGAGAATTGGTTAAAAGATTTAAAATCATTTGGTGATCCTAATTTGGTGATCGTCTTAGTGGGAAACAAATCGGATTTAATCACTTCAAATTCTCAATCAGATTCATCATCAACTTCAACCCGTCAAGTTTCAGTAGAAGAAGCTCAACAATGGGCAATTGATCATGATTTACAATATATTGAAACGAGTGCTAAGACAGGTGAAAATGTAGAAGAAGTAAATTTTCTTAAATTTTCCACTCTTCACTACAGACTTCTTTTTAATCACATTAATTCATTCATTTTTCTTTTTTTGGTGTGGTTTTTTCTTCTTCTTGAAGGCATTTGCTTCTGTTGCAAAACAAATCCATCAATTAGGTTTCTTAGATCAATCTAAATCGAATCGAAACAACACAATTAATAAAGGTTCAAGTTTTCCAATCCATTCAACTTCTTCAACTTCTTCATTTAATTCATGTTGTTCAAAATAAACCATTCGTTTTTTTCTTTTTCAACCAAAAGCTTTCATTGACTATCACAGTATTTCCATTTTTTTTTCTCATTTTTTTTTTTTGGTCATCATAAAATTGTACAAGATTTCTGTATCATTAGAAAAAATTTCAATTCTTACACATACCTTTTTCTTGCTTCGATTTTTAAAGAGTTTTTTGATGAGGGAAAAAAAGACTTATATCTCACTTTTCATCTCGATTTCCTTCTCAATGTAATCTAATCGAATCCAATCTAATCCTACCTCATGCAAGCTCATTCCAGGTAACCACTCACCACCGACTCCAAGTCTCTCTTATGGTGCAACCAAACTGATCATCATTCACATCTTAATGACTTTGTAACTCACCACATAGCAATCTTATCTTTGAAGTAACAGTCTTGATGTTTGAAGCTGTCAAGGTTGCTATGTTGTTATGTACAAACTCATTGATTTGTGAATGATTATTGGTTCCGTTGGACAATGATGGCGCATCAGTGTTGTCTGTGAGTGATTTGATCACTGGGTTGAGGTTGGTTGTGAATTGATCAAGCTTGGGTAAGATTAGGTTGAGCAGGAAATAGGGATGGACAAGGATGGATGGGAAAGTGTGTCCCAGTTATAAGTTCATGGAAGTGGTTATGAATCTGTCTGAGAGCCAGAACCTCCTGTATCAGTTGCCGTTGCTGGGCCACCGTAGCTCTCAACTCGGTATCTTTTGTCCAAGGCTTCAAGTGCTCCTAGAGCAAATGACGGGTAGGCTGAAGCTTAGGGATGCTGAAGTGTTGGATCTATCATCCAAGGGGCTGGCCCTCTCAGGTGTCTCAGAAATTCGGTTTCTGAAGCATCTTCATCCTGCTCAGAGGCTTTCTAGCTTTCCAATCACATTGTATACCCGAACTCCGGATTGACGAAAGAGCAGCACATACAGGATGTCACCCCCTTCTCGCTCGCCCAAAGATTTTATTAAGGAATCTGAGACACATCTCTAAAAACAATGACACGAAGAACCAGTTAATCAAAATCACCCGAGATGAACAGTTCAAGTTTCTATCATAATATATGATTTCTTGCTTTCTTTTTCTTCAAAAAAAACATAGTAGATCAAATCGAAAACAAGCCAAGAAACTAATATTTTTTTCAAAGACCACGAGAAGATGATGAATTCTCTTTATTCGAGTTTGAGTCCTTTGCCTTTTCATCTGATGATGGCTTTGTCCGGGATAAAATGTCTTGATCAGTTCCTGTTGGATCTTCATTTTGTTGTTCAATCGCAGCCGCTGCACTTTGCTGTTCAGGTTCGTAGATTTTGAAATACCAGATCAAACTTCATTTGTCAGGATGGATTCACGGAAATGAAAGAGAAAGCAGATGTGACCAACATTTTCGAGTTTATTGTTCACCAATCCGTGTAATGCAATCACTGCTCGAATTAAACTTGAGAGATACATCACCAAGAGTTGATCGTTAGTAACAGTGGTCAAAGGTCTTGAGCGATCGAGAACTAGGCTTGTGAGATCCTTTGCTCCTGCTGCAATATCTGTCAGACTACTCATTGAGACGTCACCATCGAGAGATTTCTCAACAGGAGCAGATTGTGAGGTTGTGGTTGGGCTTAGATCAATATTAGGAAGTAGGTTGAAGATGTCTTGAAGGTTGTAGATGATCTGATGGTTTACAGGTAAGTCATTCTTGATCACGCCTTGCAGATAATCGCTGATCTCAGATAATCTAGCTTGGAGTCCTCGAAGCGAGTTGAGTCGATCGGTGACTCGAGTAGAGAGCGTGCCGGTAGAAAGGTCTTTGATATCCCTTAGAAGATGTTCGACACCGATTTCTTCTGATTCTTCTGCTTCGATCGACGAAGGAACATGCATAAATGTGTTTTGGGTAGCTGTGCCATCCTGTATTGATGAATTGTCAACGGTTTGAAAGAGTCAAATAGAGTTTTGTTCGAGTCACTTACATCTTTGATCTCTTCAATCGCGAAATAAGCATCTGTGACAGATCCCTTGGCGATCCCTCGATCAGGTCTCACATCCACTATCACCATCACCGGTCTAGGACAATATCGTTTGAAAACCTCATTGATCTCAAGATCAGTTGAACGAAGTTTAGGACCCGTATGATACCAACCAATGAGCTTCTCTTTAGCCGAAACCTTTTTAAACATATCACCCATCGATTCGACAAAGTTATGATCAAGGAACCAAGTGGTAGGATTTTTTGAACTCGGATTGGTTGTTGACGATGAGGATGAAGGGTCTGCTTTAGACTCTTCTTCATCGAATGGCACAGCGAAAGAGTTGGCGACGTTGAGAGATGTTCCAAGGTCTTGACCTAAGAGTACACCTACCACTCGCTTTCTTCCACCTTTGGCTACACGAGCTGCATGATCAGTTACAGAGAGGAGGACAAGAGGATGTATGATCACCTAAGGTTGTCAATTGAATGAGAATTAGCGAGTTGGATCGATGAAATCATGAATAGCAAAAAGATGAAATTAACTTACTTGAGTTGTACTCAAAGCCACCATTTCTTCGCTTGTAGCAGCTACCATTTTGAAGTATTAAGTGATTGATTTATTGGTTTGATTGATTGATTGAAAGTATAAAGTGAATTGATAAGATGGTGAAGTTCGTCAAGTTTATGGTGAGATTGTTGATCGATCGATTGGATGAGTTCATTTGATTTGGTGACCGTGTTGATGACGTCTGCGTTAGAAGATTTACACAGACCTGTCACACCCACATTCGTCTTGTGTATTTCACCTTTCACCTTTCCATAACCTCACTCAATCAAAGTTCATCAAGCTCAAGCCATATCCTACGAGTCCCATCTCAAGGCCATGTTATAGTTTGGGCTGCTTCTGGCATTTGATGGTACTGCCTAAATTTTAGAATAACGCAAATCAAGGATGACAAAAAAAAGCAGGGTCAAAGAAAGAATTGAAGAGAATTCCATCACAAAATGACAAGACAGGACAAAACTTCTTCAGGCCAACCTCAGGATGCCTCTGTTGCTGCCTTCTGTCATGATTTATTTTCGATCACTTCCAAAATTTTAGCCATGATCAACCTCAAAAAAAACAGAAAGACAAGGAGAAAATTTCTACAAGAGTGATTTGTGCGGGTCCTTTTGCGCCGCTGCGGCTGGGGAGTACCCGGAGGCATGCACCTATCTGCCAAGTCTTCCAGAAGCTGCACCTCTACATGGCAAAATCATCAGCCGCTTCATCACACAATCACACAATCACTATACCATATCCGAATCATCAAAACACGATGGGTATGGGACCATCCCCGGCTGTAAAGGCCGCTGCCGGCGTCTTGATCTCCTCCAGTTCTTCATCTACACTTCGAACCAATGGAAACAAACAACCTCTTTCAATCGAGAGTCTACTTGCGCAACAAAAAGCTGAAAAGGAAGCGGCTAGTAAGGTTAGTGTCCCACATATACTTACGTAATCCCAATCGCGCATGATTTGTTGATTTTCGTTTATGATGTGTTTTTAGCCAAAGTTCTTGTCAAAGGAGGAACGAGCGACACTTGCTATTGAGAAGCGGGCTCAAGAGGTTGCTGCTGAAAAAGCAAGACTAGCAGAAGCAGCGGCTAAACGTGACGAACTTGAACGAAGTGCTCGAGAATCTAAATACGGATCTTACTCTAGTAGAGGAGGCGGAAGTCGAGATCGTGGATACCCTGATTCGAATGGAGCTGGTCGAGAACATTCGGAATCAAATGGGGGTTCACTTCCTTACGGTTATAATGACAGACGAAGTGCCGGTTCATCACGAATCGATATGGAAGGTGTACCAACTGCTCCAAAAGCCCTCAGAAGCAAAACAGGCTCTAGTAGCACAACAGGCTCAGGTCCGGGTCCTTCTGGTCTGCGAAATGCAGTACGAGCTGATGCAACTGACTCAAGCTCAACATCAAACAATGCAGCGAGCAACTCTATGCCACCACCCAACTTTCCCGCCTCTGCCTCACTTCCCGATATGAAGGGCAATAGTGTACTCCCCAACAACGGTCCCATGCTCGGCACTGCCCCTCCACCTGCCTTGAACCAGAAACTCTTGATGGCTCGTTACTTGGGTCAACCGGATAATAAGAAGCGCCGGATTCGCAAGATGTCAGACAAGAAATTTGTGTTTGATTGGGCCAAAGATGAAGATACTGCTCTTGAAGAAGTCGATCCACTCTACGCCGTCACAGCACCTCCAATATCTGCGCCAAGTTCTTCAGCCAGTAGTAGTCACAGTAATCGAGGATCTGTTCCGCCACCTACAACCACAGCCGTGCAAGTTGTCGGCCGGTTTGGTCTGTACGGAAACGGCAAGCTGGCCGGTATCGATCCAGCAGCCCAATCCGTCCGTAACCACTCGAGAACGACTTACCAGACCCGGTATAATCCTGACGATGAAGTACTCACCTCAACTCCAATGTCAACAGGATCTAAACGAAGTTCAGCTGTGATCAATGAATTGCACTGGAGTCAGAAACCGCTGGAAGCTATGCGTGAACGAGATTGGAGAATCTTTAGAGAAGATTTTTCAATCGCTGCTAGGGGTGGTAACATACCCAATCCAATGCGTTCATGGGATGAATCCAAGATTCCGATGCAAATCTTAGAAATCATTGATGAAGTGGGCTATAAAGAACCATCACCTATTCAACGACAAGCTATCCCACTGGGGCTCAACAATCGAGATTTGATTGGTATTGCGGAAACTGGATCAGGAAAAACGGCATCCTTTGTGATTCCAATGTTAACATACATTGGAAAGCTAGCTCCACTCACGGACGAAAATCGACATTTAGGTCCTTATGCACTCATACTCGCACCCACACGTGAGTTGGCTCAACAGATTGAAAGTGAAACAAACAAGTTTGCACTCCGGTTAGGTTATCGTTGTGTATCGATTGTAGGAGGAAAAGCAATGGAAGAGCAGGCATTGAACATGAGGGATGGGGCGGAGATCATCATTGCAACCCCGGGTCGATTGAAAGATTGTATTGAGAGACATGTGCTTGTGTTAGGTCAGTGTACATATGTAGTGATGGATGAAGCAGATCGAATGATCAATTTAGGATTTGAGGAAGTAGTCAACTTCATTCTTGATCAGTTACCACTCAGCAACCTCAAGCCTGACACTGAGGAAGCAGAAGACTCTGCGAAAATGACCAGTTTCATTGGAGGAATCGAAGGATTCGATGTCAGTGGCATCAAGGGACTCTATCGTCAGACGGTAAGTAATTGGCTTCATCGAGCTACACTCAGAACTCTCCTATAGCCTATTTCACGTCGCTCGTCTACTTAACTGACTAACTTGTAACCTGTAGGTGATGTTTTCAGCTACAATGCCACCAGCTGTCGAACGATTGGCACGGAAATACTTACGAAGGCCAGCAGTCGTAACGATTGGTGTAGCAGGTCAAGCTGTTGACACAGTTGATCAACAAGTCGAATTCTTACCAAATGAAGATAAGAAACGTGGAAGATTATTAGAAGTCTTGAACCAAGGTCATACACCTCCGATCATTGTGTTTGTCAATCAAAAGAAAACAGCAGATCAACTTGCCAAAGATATCTCTCGAGCTGGTTGGTCTACGACTACACTTCATTCTGGAAAGAATCAAGAGCAAAGAGAGGCTGCTCTTGCTTCACTGCGAGCGGGTGAGTCGGATATCTTGGTGGCAACTGACTTGGCAGGACGTGGTATCGACGTACCGAACGTCAGTTTGGTGGTGAACTTCCAAATGGCCGGAACCATCGAGGCTTACGTGCACAGAATTGGTGAGAATCGATCATCGTTTTTTTCCCTCGCTAAGCTCTGGGTTTGTAGGTTGTCTAACTCACTCTTTGATCCCGTCACACCTTGACTATCAGGTCGAACTGGACGTGCCGGTAAAGTCGGTACTGCAATCACATTCCTGACAAATGATGATGCAGATGTACTCTATGATCTTAAGCAAGAGATCACTAAGAGTCCTGTATCTCGCTGTCCGCCTGAATTAGCAAAACATGAGGCAGCTCAATCAAAAGTAAGATATCATCTATTCACGTCCAGAGTGATCGATACTGAAGTTTCAATCTTTTTTTCCTCGAAACTTTTAGATGTCTGCCGCCATGAAACGAAGGGCCGCAGATCTTGATGATGGATGATCTCTTGGATACATAAAAGCTTCCTGTTGATTTAGACTTCTCAAAGCAGCAGCTACAGAGAACCTTGTAAATTTGGTGGCCTAGGCAGGAATGTGGACATCTACAATGTAATCAGACTTTCGAAGTGTTAAAAAGTTATGAAATACAATACATCATTCTCATCGGAGATGCAATCTCATGCAACTAATAGCATGTGATAATGCGTCTCGTCTAGACATCTTGATGATGACCAATTCACCCTCTCAAAAAGTACTTTTTGATGCGCCTGCTGCAATTGTAGATTCCTCAAGAGTATTGATGTAGAACCACGAACATCGTGTGACGTTTGTAGTCGCATGGATACGTATGTCGTTGAGCTGCTCATACTCGTTTGAAGCCATCAAGTCAAACATCACGGTTAACTCAAAATGAATTGGTTATCATAGACAAGCTTTGGATGGCTACAAACCCCCCTTCGATGTGAAACCCAACAAGACAACAACTCAACCAGAAGTAGATTGAAGAGCGTCTTTACAATCAAGTGTAGGAATTGATAACGTCGTCGCCGGGGGTTGTGGCCAATGCCGTGATTCGAACTCTTGTGGATTGATTGTGCTATATATACTCAGTAATGGCTTGCCCGTCGCTCCACTTCGGTGGTGGCATACGTTAAAATTGGAACGATACAGAGAAGATTAGCATGGCCCCTGCACAAGGATGACACATGTAGTCAGAATGGATTCACCTACGGGTGAAGATTTTTTTCTCCTCTGGCCTGCGAAATGTTTGCGGTCATTTGTTTTGTTGTCTATTTGACGCAATGTTCCTGCTTGGAGGAAGCTGAACCTTTGATTGTATTGAGAAGGATTGGATTTGGAGGAATTCATTATTTGTACAGTGCCCTCCAAAAATTTTACGTACAGTTTTGTAAATACAGCTGTGTGTTGAAGTACTAGTGCTACAAATAAGAGTTCAATACAATATCACACCGTCTCCCATCAACACCAAATCATGAAGACACGATCCCTGACATCCGAGGAGAGGGCTGAAATAGTTGGGGCAAGGAAGTCTGGGCTCACAATGGGTCAAATTGCAAAGAAACTGAACCATCCTCGATCAACAGTTTCAACAGTGCTTTCAAACTACCAAAAGAACGCCACCACCAACCCTCAGAGTCACGCTGGTAGACCCAAGAAGCTCACCGATTGCGATCGAAGAACTCTAAAATGAACCTTGAGGAAAGATAGGCGGAGTACACTTTCGGAAATCTCAGCTCAGATCCCAACTCGAGTCTGTCATAACACTCTTAGAGCCGAGATCAAAGACCTTGGTTTCAATTCTTGCATTGCAGTCAAAAAGCCTTACCTGAGTGCTCAACATCGTCGGAAACGATTAGGTTTTGCTCTAGCATACAAAGATTGGACGGTGGAGGACTGGGAACGAGTGATTTGGACTGATGAGTCATCATTTGAGATTGGAAAGATGTCAGGCCCAGTGCGAGTGTGGCAAAAGAGTAATGAAAAGTTTGAATTGGATTGTCTCACCCCGAGTTTCCGAAGTGGTCGATCTTCAGTCATGGTCTGGGGTGCTTTTACTTCATTTTGCAAGCTTCCTCTTGTCTTAATTCCACCTGGACGATGTTCTTCTTCCGACTTCATCTCGATTGTCTACGAGCGGGCTTTGAAACCTTTTGTGACCCATCCTTGCTGTCCTTCTAACCTCATCTTGATGGAGGATGGTGCTCCAGTTCATCGGAGTCAGGCTTCAAAGGAATGGCATGCCAGTCATTCAATCCTCAAGTTGGACTGGCCTGCAAACAGTCCGGATCTCAACCCGATCGAGAACCTTTGGAAGATCCTCAAGAGCTCGATTTCCAAGGAAAAGCGACCAAAGTCTCAACAAGAGATGTATCATCTTCTGGTGTCTAAGTGGATGGCTATCCCAGAAAGCAAGCTCAAGTCACTTGTTGCTTCAATGCCTGAACGGATTCGAGCGGTGATAAAAGCTAAAGGGGGTGCAACTCGGTGGTGATTCTGCTTTGATTCTACTGCAATATGTTGTTCTAAATACATAGCCTGAGCACTGCCCATAGTGAGAAGAATGCTTAGAAATGCATTGCAAAAAAGTTTGTCATCAAGAGTGTAGTTATTGGTCCCTTTGAAACATTTTTGATGACCCTACATACAGAGCAGATGTGCACTGTACGTAAAATTTTTGGAGGGCACTGTACGAGTCTTGTGATTAATTTTTTTCCTATCATATCTCATAATATCTGACACCACAACTAGATCATTCTTAAGGCTCCTGGCTTTCATTGCGTCCGAGAGGGTCTTTGTCAAATCCAAGATCCAATCTTGCTTGAATATAAAATTCTGCCTGTTTGAATATTATCCATGTGATGGACAACCCCACTTTTCAAGTATTTGGTGAATTTGTTGACTCTCAACCCAACAAATGGAAAGTTACATGATCTGCTCATGGATGAGCAGTCAAGAAGAGTGAAAGTCTGACAATTGGAGCTACAAAAACCATGCTAGCTCCTAGTTTAAAACCAATTACAATGCCCCCAAATTTGGGGGAAATCATTGAGTTGGACCCAGAGTGATGAAATTGATCCCCAAAAAAGAAAAGACATTGAATTTTTTGTCTTGATTATTATTCAGAGATTTACTCATGTTACATAAACTGATAGGCAGACAATGTACAATACCAGGAAACAAAACAAGGAAAACTTTGAACAAACAAGAAGGCTCAACGGAGTTATAATACCACATGTAATCCAAAGATTTGCTCAATGGAAGGAGCTCCAACTGCCAAAACTTTCAAATCCTCCACTAGGAATTGTCAGTAGGTAGTGGTGGAAGCAGGCAGGTAGGTGGCAGGCCTGGTGGCCTCAATTTGCTGACCTGTGGGACATCTTTGATTTCAAATGGATTGGATCCATACCTGATTCTCCCATCTTCACCTCCATGCCTTCCAAGCTTGAGAGTATGGCTGGTGCCAATCTCTTGGAAGTGTTTTGTCCTCTTGTCTCCCTGCACATTGGGACCAGGGATGTGCAGGACTCTGTGACAGAGTTCAATGTACTGCCACTCTAGACCATTGAACTTTGTGTGTCCAAAGTTTTGGGTTGCTACCCATTTCCCCTTGTCCGTCACCAATGAGCTTCTGGATCTGTATGTACAATGGTGCAATGAACCCATTGAGGATCAGAATAAGCTTGTTATGAAGCAGTTGTGCAATTAACTCACCTTTGGCAACATGTATCCAGCCCCTTCGTTATCCTGTACCTTGTTGTGGTCTGCAAATGAGGAGTTTTGTAGACAGGCTTGTCAGAAACAGAAGCAAGTCTGAACAAAAGCAAATCAACATACCTGTGGTATGGCCAAGGAATTGGCTTGTCTCCTTGTGCACCACACTAGAGGAATATCTGATTCCTAATCAGATCAATCAACACACAATCAGTATAACAGTCTTAGAAGGATATAAGATGTCCGGAGAAGAGATGTCAGATAGGATGTGTAGTTGATGAAAACGTTCTGGATGATTGATGAGGAAGAAAGTCTTGACAACATTAGAATCTGATATAGTAGTCTGTGTGATACAACATGTGGTTAGGTTGAAGTTCTGTCAGAAAGATTGTGAGTAACAATTACACAAAGTACAAATTGTAAACATAGGAATAAATTTAATATATATATGATTTGTTAGTTATTCATTACGTGTTGGGTATTTGATTTGTTGTTAAGTGATTGTTTTTGGTCCACATTTGAATATGTACTACAGATCATTGGTTATGTTTCTCTTTATTTCATAATGTCTAACTTGTGCGCGTTTTAACTCTCTCACTTCTAGTGTGTCCTAGTCTATAAAGACTCCTATGATTCAGCACTTGGCTAGAACATCATCTGTTCAAAGCTTTCATTGTCTATGATCACAAAACCGTTACTTACGTATTTTGTGAATCCGTGCTTGACTCATAGGTAGGTTTTTTGTTCTGTTTCTCTTTTGTTTTCTTTTCTTCTGCTAGGTTTATTTGTTATGTTTTTGCGTGTGTTGTGGAATGAAGATCATCCGTTCAAAGCCTTCATCGTCTATGATCACAAAACCGTTACTTACGTATTTTGTGAATCCGTGCCTGACTCATATGATTCAAGTCAACAATTTGTTCCAACACACACCAGTGTGTCTCTTTCCATTTTCAGTGCCTATGTTTATGCAAAAAAATAACAAGTGAGGATATGATAATGCTTTTCTGAGAGATTTTGATTCAAAGAGATGTTTTCTCACATTCTTGATACTCAAGTGACTATCATGATCCTCATCATCAGATCCAAAGCATGATATCTCTGGCGTTGGAATTACCCACATCCACGTAGGTAGGTGGTAGTGACCCACAGTTGAGTATACTGGAGTACACTCAGGTAAGAGCTCTACCTATTTTGCCATTCAGGTTAAAGTTGATCAGTGTATCAGTGTTCAGGTTCTAGAATAATGATCACGACAGAAACATACCAAGTGTCAAGAGGATTTACATGCTATTTTTGATACCTAATGAGAAGTATAACAAGGTATAAGGGGTCACTCAAGATAGATCAAACCATACATATTTATAAAAACAGCGTACAGGAGAAGAGAATGGTGATTGGAGACTGTTTGAGTCAAGCCCCACCTTGAAGACTGATCCGCATGTTCCGTCATGGTTCTACTAAGACAAGGTTGGATTACTGAAAATAGGTATCTTGAAAAAAATCATTTGCACAATCTAGAGACTTAACCTTTGTGCAGATATGCTGTGGCCAACTGATGATCCAAATGGAGCCTGTCAATCAAACAATGATCAAATGTTGAGGATATGAATAAGAAGAGGAAAGTGACCAGAGAGATTTACTGGATACTCAAATGGCAATGAGAGGCTAAATGTGCTTGTTAAAACCTTTTCATTGGTAGACAATGACCATGTCATCAGTTTTGAGATGGTTTGTAGGATTGACCAAGAAAATGGTATAGT